CTCAAATCCTAGAGAAGCCCTGTATGTAGGAAAGGAAGCTATCAGATCTTTTGCAGCCCAAAGCCTGAGACTCAAGTAGTGGGTTTAATGATGTGTTGATGTCATTGAGACAGGGCCTGGTAATGTCACAACTCTTGAAACAAAGATAGGCATGCAGGTCAGGCATGGTGCATGACCTCTAGATGAATGGGTGCATCCTAGAGTTAAAGGGATAGCGCTAGAGATGTTCAGCAGATGCCTGAGCTCTTGCTAATTCCATTGACTAACTTGCTTCTAATTCTAGCACTGCAGGGGCTATTGTTGGGAGAAGTAGCTGAGGCAGGTAAGTTGAATTCAAGTACTCCAAAGCCCATCAAACAGCCTCCCCCAACATGATGCCCTCTAATTGCTTTACATTCTAGTTGTTTTAGCACATCATAAAAGAGTTGCTTCAGACCTTGGGCACATGGCAGGCTCTCTTTTCTATGCAACTGTTAACGGGCCTCAATTAACATTGAAGTGTTTTATTTTCTTTGCACTGGGCTCAACTAATATGCACTGAGTTGAAGATGTGGTCACACTTTTGTGAGATCTCTCCCCCCCTCCCCAAGATTTTATTAAAGCTTTTTCATAATACAATAAGATGAAAGAAACTAATCAAATAAAAACAGAAATGGGAGAGGAGGGAGAAGAAAATCCTCTCTCAAATGCAGCTCTTAAGCAACCCTTTTCTCATACAGAAAGTGGTGGAACCTCCCTGTTTTTCTTTCTTCTCCCAGTCTCTGAAACTGGGAGGTCTTCCCTGCCCTCTTTTCCACATGGCCACTGTATTGAAATATTAAAATAAACTGCAATTTTCTTTCTGGAAGCTGTGACATTGCATCGTAGTATTCATAACACTCCTCCCTACTATTACTCACGATTTCTTTCCCGATATACTTCAGATGAACTGCTCTACCCGTATGGACCCAAACACCAGGACAGAACCACCCCAAAGGCAGATGACGGGGCATCTCCTCAGATCCCCATCTCTGAGAGCTTCTACTTTTACACCAGGAGGTATCAGTCTCTTTATGTAAGTATCACCCTTACGGCTCTCACGACCCTCTGTAGCCCTTTCCATTTATAGCAGAAAGCTCTCTGGAGATCCCCCAACTGCCTAGAAGGCAAAACCAGCCTGTGATACCCCAGACCAGGGGTAGGCAACGTGGTGCTTTTCAGATCTTGGTGACCTGCAACGCCCATCATCCCTGACCATTGGCCATGTTGGCTGGGGGTGATGGGAGCTGTAGTCCAGCAACATTTGCATAGCATCACATTGGCTATCTCGTCCACAGACTTCCAAGAAGAACTCCAGGACTGGCAGGTTAATTTTTTCACATTTTCCTTCAGAAAGCAAGGACCATCCATGATGTTCCAAAGATGACAGATTTTCACCTGGGATTATCTACTTTTTTAAAAAGCTCTGTGGAATCAGGGGAGAGGTTGACAGAGGGAGGGGGATTGTCTAATCAGAGATGGCCATGTTGCTTGATCACACCTCTAAAGGCAGCATCTTGACATCCATGTCTCTCCAGCTGCTGCTGCAACTGCCATCATCCCTGATCAAGTTGGCTTGGGCTGATGGGGTCTGGAGCCCAACAGCACCTGGAGGAGCACAGCTTCCCCATCCCTGATCTACATAGTGGCAGATGGGCCACTGACACCTTGCAACAACCCAGGACTCCTTTAAGAGTCTTACAGAAGAGCAGCTATACAACTATCAGAAGTGTGGGGGCCCTGTCTTCTTTTTCACCTGACCACTCTTAGTGAAAAGTGAGAGTATGACTGGAGGACTATATTATATTTCATTATTTGTGTATACTACATTTTATTTTATTTTGCTTAATTTATTTGATTCATATACTGCCCTTCCTCATAAGATCTCAGGGTGGTTCACAGAATAAAATATAGGATAAAAATAAGTAAATAGTGTAAGTAAAACAAAACAGCAAAAATATACCCCACCCCACCCCCTTCTCACAGACACATGTAAAAGACTGGAGAATATTAATCAGCCAAAGGCCTGGTTGAATATCGGGCTGCTATACGTCCAGGTTTTCCTGGACATTACCAGGATTTCAAAGGTGGAATTGACGCCCCGGGGGGGGGGGGATTTCCGAAAGGCGGTGCTTTGTTCTGGATCTTAGGAGAAAGCTTTTGGCATTTTTGTAAAATGGGTTTTTACTTTTTGAAATATGGCAACCCTATTGAAGAGGAACTATATTAGAAATATCAAGTAATTTTTCTGCTTGGAATGGGACAGGTAGCTTGCCATTTAATAGAGAGGCTAGTGCATTATGCCGGGTACATTGGGTTTTTAAAGAGACTGTCATTTTATTCTCAGGACTTCCTCTGAGGCTGACCTGAAATTTCTCAGAAAACAATTTTCTGACAGGTTTTAGAATGCTCATTTTTCAAGCTGCTCCTGAACCATTGGAGAAATCCCCTTCTTCCCTAGACAATATTCAGCAAAATAGCCTCCCCCAGTCTTTCTGTCTGCGAATCTTGGGTGCAAATGTGGATCCAGTTAGAATGTTTTGGGATTTTATGTTAAGATTGTGGGCTAGACCTTGACTTTTGCTCCCCCCCACCAGGTGAACAATAATGGAGTGGTGTCATTTGGTAAGCCAGTCAGCCAGTTCACTCCTGATCCTTTCCCCTTGACGGATGGACGGGCCTTTGTTGCTCCCTTTTGGGCTGATGTCGATAACCGCATCACCGGTGAGGTCTACTACAGGCAAAGCCAAGAAAAGCAGCTCCTGCAGAGAGTCACAGGTGACATCAACACTTACTTCCCAAGTGAAAAGTTCACAGCTACCTGGGCCTTCATAGCCACTTGGGACAAAGTGGCTTTCTATGGATCCCTGTCCTCCAAGGTAGGATTCTTTGATCATTTCTTCATGGCGGCATTTCACTCACACACCAGAAACAGCTGTATACACAACAACACTGGCTGCCTGAGTACAGTTCACTGGCATGCAAATAGCAGCTGTGGGGCAGACTGGGACTGGGGAGGAGAAATTTAACTCTTTCTCTCCCTGCCAAATTCTATTTGTAACTGCTATTTGCATTTCAAGGGAATGTGCTAGTGGTGCCAATTGAGACTTCGCTGGAAATGCAAATAACATGTCCAGTGTTGTGATATTTGCCAGGACCACAGCAGGGAGGGAGAGAGAATTACTCATGCCCCTGCTTGGTCTTCCCTAGGGCTGCCTGACGCAGACAAGGACAGGGCTCCTACACCTTTAATAGTTGAGTCCAAGGGAATTTCAGCAGATGCACCTGCTGAAATCTGTTTTTTGACATGACTATCAAAGGTGCAGGAGCCCTGTCACATTTTTGCACCTGGTCATCCTAGTCTCCCCTGCAGCTGCTACTTACAGAACAAAAAAAAAGTGTGTTGATTGCATTTCCACAATTAACATCCCTTCTAGATTGGCCCTAAACTAGTCACTTCCATGGATCCAATATGGAGCAAATATAATGGCTGTACAGGCTTTCCTACAGCTGCTATTGATGCAACAAAATGGATGAACATTAATTGCATTTACACAGTTAGTGTCACCATCTGCTGTGAACTTCAGATGGCCAATGAATAAATCTCAAACTTTGGTTCAAGCAGCTGCAAACCCAGGGGTTACCAAAGGGGTCCTGCCAGATGTTACTAGACTACAACTCCCATAATCCCTGACCATTGGCCATGCAACATCTGGAAGACTCCACACTGGCTATTCTTGCTCAAACCTTTCCTGATTTGAACTCTGCAGTAATACTCTCTCCAGAGCACCCAGCTACAGCCTATAATAAGGTTTTATTTAAAAAAGAAAAAAGCAGAAAAAATATCACAAGAAGAGAGGTGGGAAGGGATGGTTTCATTGAGAACACCGTCTTCATCTGGTGAAAATAAAAGCTGTTTTCTCCCATTACAACCTGGGCCCTGCTTAACGTCCTCCATTTACTTGTGTTTAACTGTAACCTGGCATGTATTTAACGTGCCATAAAAGTCGCAATAAATCCTGATTAAATGCCTGGTTAAGAATTTTAAAGCCTTGGGACACCGTGACCAGATTACAGAGCAGAGTAATAGTTCCACCAGCTGACAAAATCAAGGGAACTGTAAGTAGACGGCTCATTGCTTTCTGCTCCAGTTAACCGCAGTCTAAAAGCAAACAATATTCACTGGAATAAAGGAGGAAGATGCCACTCCCACTCGTGTGCACATTAAAAAAATGTCCATGTGAATTTAATGGTACACCCTTAAAGGCCAAACAAATGCAATGAATGCTTTTGATTTTTAAATTCATGTTTGTTTTTCTCATGTACATGCGACAAACCATTCATAATCAATCATAGGGTGCTTCCGGAATGTGCTGTTTATGGTTTGGGATTCAATCACATACCAGCAAAACTCTGGTTGTGCAACTGTAGTTGATGGGGAGGTCTTGTGCAAGAAATCCACTTCCCCAGAATATTGGACCTTTTGTGATAAGGAAAGTGACTGGACAATGCAGTGGGCAGTGTGGGTGTGAGATAACTGCTGCTTTGATGCAACGTCCGTCTACATCCCCACAAACAAATGAGAGTGGATTCTCATTGATTAGTCAACTTTGTCTAACCTCCCTGCAAACAAACCAGGATAACTGCTCAATAAACGGGTTGTCTGGAAGTGACCAGAGAAGCTATAAACAATACATACCTTACAATCCAGGAAGGTGGATTTACACCAGGCATAGGCAAACTCCGGCCCTCCAGATGTTTGGGACTACAATTCCCATCATCCCTAGCTAACAGGACCAGTGGTCAGGGTTGATAGGAATTGTAGTCCCAAACATCTGGAGGGCCGGAGTTTGCCTATGCCTGATTTATGCTATGGAGGCTCCCCTGTCTCTTATACATGGGTAAATTAGGGAACTCCAGAAGAGGGAACTGACCACTGAAAGGCAAGCTGTACCCATCTACATTCCAGTTGCATTATACTACCTTTATATAACAGGGATTGAACCTGGGACCTTCTGCATGCAAAACACAAGCTCTAACACTGAGCTGTGGCCTCACAGAAACTGTGCTCTGGGAACCAAGTTTTGTTGCTGATGCTATTCCACATTATACAGGAAAAAGTGCAAAGCATATGGATATGGGAGACAACCAGTCATTGTATACCTGCTGTAGGGAAGAGGATGCTGATATTACCCATTGATCATGCATTTGGTGTTGGTTTTTAGTAATTTGGTTAGAGAATAAAAGGTGAATTCCCTGGATGCCTAGATCCAGGTTTGGGGCAAGTGTTCTTGGGTGAGAGAGTCCCAGCAGAGATTTAAAATCACCAAACTAAAGTGTGGAAATATAGGCCATTTGACATTTAAAATATCCCCTTCTAAGTTTCTTTTAAAGTTTCCCACTTATCATAAAAAGAGACTACACATTTGAAAAGTTAAAAATAGTTTATTTACAAACTCTTTGATGGTCAGATTCATGCGTTTTTCTATACAGCAGCTGGAAAAGACAGGCAGCACAACTTAGTTTCAAAAAGTGGTTAATACTTCTAAACTGTTTGTATAGAAACACAAAGATGGCTTGCTAAAGCCATGCGGTCTAAGCTTGGAGCATTCAGCTTAGACATCCTTACTTAAAGGATTCACATGGTGAAAGAAAAAGAATAATGAGTTTTGTAACCTTTCCTTCCAAGGTGAGGATGTGGGACCCAGCTAAGCCTGGCAGGACTGCTTACTCTATGATCTTAACCTCTTAATAGCAGGGATGTGGGTGGTGCTGTGGTCTAAACCACTGAGCCTCTTGGGTGTGCCGATCGGAAGGTTGGCAGTTCGAATCTGCGTAATGGGGTGAGCGCCTGTTACTCTGGCCCAGTTTCAACCAGCCTAGCAGTTCGAAAGCATACCACTGCAAGCAGATAAATAGGTACCACTGTGGTGGGAAGGTAAATGACATTTCTGTGCTCTATGGCTTCCGTCATGGTGTTTCATTGTGCCAGAAGCGGATTAGTCATGTTGGCCAAATGACCCAGAAAGCTGTCTGTGGACAAATGCCAGCTCCCTTAGTCTGAAGCAAGATGAGTGTTGCACCTCGCAGTTGCCTTTGACTGTCCAGGGGTCATTTTACCTTTTACCTTTACCTTAACCCCATAATGCATTAATTAGAGTTAATCATGTTGGTTATATGAGACTGATATGTCCCACATTTGGCACCTGTTTTGTATAGGTGAACACATTCCAGGCTGTTTTAACCTCCAATGGTAAACTGTCTTTCGTTATACTGAACTATCAGGACATCCAGTGGATATCAGGGCAGGCAAGTGGTGGAGATGCTCACACCGGCTTGGAGGGCACACCTGCTCAGGTAAGTCCCACCTCTGGTTACATGCTGAAAGGAAGTAGTAGTCCAAAACATCTAGAGGGCACCAGGTTGATGAAGGTAGATGATCTGGTTGATCCAGTTCAGCAGGAGGAAGTGAAGTGTTACCTAGCAAGCCATGTATTCTGGAGACACATGAGCAGAACTCTCATCCTTTGCTCATGTTCCATTTCTCTCTTCCAGGCTGGATTTAACAATGGAGATGCTAACAACTACTTCAACATCCCTGGATCTTGGACTCCAAGCATCATTAACGTCAGCTCCACGAGTAACATCATGGACCCTGGACGCTGGGTCTTTGAGGTGGATGTCTTTGCAGTGCCAAATGGCTGTGTTTACAAAGGTACGTTGATCACTACTCAATAAGAATATAAGAAGAGCTATGAAGGATCCAGATCAAATTCTTCTAAAATCTTGGGGAGATTTTCTTCTAAAATCTTGGGAAGGGTAATAATGGATAGAACATCTGCTTTGCTACCAGCTCCACACCCACCAACCCCTGTCCTCCCTGGCCTCCCCAAATTCACCCACTTCCCTTAGACCTCCTCCCACTGCTCCTGCTTATACTGCCTGCTTCACTCCAAGGATGCTGTTTCAGATCAGTGGTGGAGGGCAAGGAAGAGGGAAATGGCAGGTAGTGGCAGAGCAGGATGGTAGCTGGGGAGTTGCCTAATCCTATTTCCTGACCTGCCCACCTACCTCTGTCTCGCTCCTCTGTGTCCCTTGTCCTTGCACTCCAACACTGCTGTGGTGGCCTCACAGCTCTCAGATGTGTGCCCACCATGCTGTGATATGCAACACCACCTGTTGGTAGCCAAGCAGACAGCAGCATGACAACTGAGTAAGACCTAGGGAAGGGGAAGTGGATCCAGATAATGGGCCAGATCCTTACCTCCCTGCCATGGATGATGCTGCCCAGCTATCAATCACCCAATGTCAGAATGTTGGGTGACCCATTTATGCCTGCATAATCATCAGGGCTTTGCATGTGCCACCAATCAGCTGTTGGGCAGTGTCTCCTAACAGTCATTGGTCCTTTCATGTCTTTACCTGTCACACACCTGAAATCATATATGGCATCAGGTGTAGGACAGATGGGTGTGCCTTGACTTGCCCCCAACTGCCTTGGGAGCCAAATGAGCAGGCCTAGTTTGACCTGTGGGTTGGAGGTTCCCCACTTCTGCCATGAGGGAAGGGCCATCACTCAGCGGTACAGCTGATGCTTCACATCTTCAGTGAAGTGGCCAGATGAAGGGGAAAATGTCTCGGAGAGCCTTGTCTAGGTGGACCTTTTATGAGGCAGATTTCTGTATATCCATCTTACTGCCATTAAATTTTAGCATCTCTTTCCTGCTTTGACTAATATTTTAACCACACCTGTGTGGTTTGCAATGGCTATTGCTTCAGTTGTGTTTGTAATGTGAATATAATGAAACCAGAAAGCTCTCGCGCAAGCTAATGGCATGAGCCCTTCTGGTCACTTAAGTTGCTTATGACTTGCATTCTGTCTTGATAGCTAATTTCCTGCCAGTCAGTGCCACCTTCTGGACTGAATCAACTTGCGAGGAGAAGTGCCAGTGCACGTCTGAAGATCCCAGGGTGACATGCCAAGCCAGCAGGTGCTCTGCAGATGAGATTTGCCAGCCGAATTCCTGGTACCATGTGTGCCGGCCCACCCATAAGGCCACCTGCCACGTCTTGGGTGGGCGGCACTACACCACCTTTGATGGCCGACTGTACCAGTTCCAAGGCAACTGTGTTTATGTGCTGTCTCAGATGTGTGCACCCTCCAACAACCACAGCCTGGAGTATTATCGGGTGGAAGCAGGGGTTTCAGGGGAAACCCCAGAAGTGTCACAGATAGAGCACTTGCGCATGATGGTCTATGGACAGAACATTGCTGTAATAGCCAACTCTGCTGGGCATGTCATGGTAAGTGCTTTGAATTCAACAGCCAAGATAAATCCTAAACTCTCCAGGTTTCCATCTGCTCTTCTCTCCTTATTTACTATTTTTCTTTCTCTCTTTGCAGCCTCTCCTCTCCCCACACCACTTTCACTCAAGGGTGGGGAATCTGTAGTCTTGCAGCTCCCATCATCTCAACATCTCAACTAGCTGAAAAGACACCCCAAGTGACATACAAGAACCAGTAGTAAGACAGTCCTTGCCCTCAGTTTTAAAGACATAACACACAAGGAAATAGGGTTGGGGAGGAAATAGTTGTTATTTTTTTAAAAAAACAACAAACAAACAAACTTAGATTTTTATAAAAACCAGCTGGGGTGGAAACAGTTCCTGCAGTGGTGAGGAAAGATTTTCCCTTCTCTCCTTTGGTCTGCAGCCTGATGGTTCCACACCTCTGGTCCACCCTAGCTGGCAGCAGCTCTCCAGGTACCTGGGGATGCCAGGGATTGAACCGGTGACCTTCTGCATGCAAAGCAGATGGTCTACCACTAAGCTATGGTCCTTTCACAATGGGAAAGGCCAGACTGATAGTATTGGCTGTAGTTCTGCAGGATCTCAGGCAGGGGGTCTTCAAATCACCTGCTACCTAGTTCTTTTAACATGGAGATGCCAAAGATTTGAACCTGTGTGACTTTCTGCAGGCAAAACAGATTCTCTACCCCTGAACTAGCCTATGAGTCCTTCACACTGAGCCATGATCCTGCTTTCTTTGCAGCTGATTACTGGAATAGATACAGGAACATAATAGTGTCCATAATTCCCTGAGTTCAGATCTCAGATGTCTGTCTGGATAGATCTCAGATCTATCTAGAACTGTTATCATGTGGGGCCAGCATCACTTTCTTGAGTACAGTCTAGGCAAGAGCTAAGCTATGGCTTTTAACTCTGCTTTATTCTGCTGAACCCTTTTCTAGATCAATGGAATCAAGAGCCTTCTTCCTGTGACCCTCCTTGGTGGCAAGGTCCGAATGCATCAGAGTGGATTCTCAACTATGATAGTCACTGATCTGGGGGTGGAAATTTCTTACAAGGGGAGTCAACATGTGGAGGTTGCTGTTCCTGCCAGCTACCATAATGCCACCTGTGGCCTCTGTGGAACCCTGAATGAAAACCCCGCTGATGATTTCTCGACTCCAAACAGATCCCTCACGGCATCAGCAGCTCTGTTTGCTAAAAGCTGGCAGGTGCACTGTGCGGAGGACCAGTGTGGGGACACCAAAGAGTTACCAAGCTGCCCTTCAACCGAATTGGCTCTTTTTTCCAGCCCAGAGTACTGTGGCATCCTGAAGGAATCTCCAGGTCCTTTTGCAAACTGTGCAAAGGTTCTGCCTCTCTCCAGCTTTGTGCAAAGCTGCACGTATGATCTTTGCACATCTGGGGGCAATCGGACAGTACTGTGTGAATTTCTCCATATTTATGCTGGACGTTGTCAAGCAGCAAACGCCATAGTTGGGCAGTGGAGATCGGATGCATTTTGTCGTGAGTCAACAATAATAATGGTGGCAACAATCACCTATGAGCCCCTGTTTTCCAGCCCAGGCTTGTTGTGAGGACAGCCTGGTGGGGTAGGGAGCCTGAGGCCTAGCAGCTAAATGCAGCCTCTCTAGGGGCTGGAGGGACTTTGGGTTCAACAACATCTGGGAGGCCATAGGTTTCCCATTGCTATCTTATGAGAAAGGGCCAGAAGAAGAACAGGTGTGTGTGTGTGTGTGTGTGTGTGTGTGTGTGTGTGTCTAGTCCAGGGTTTCCTAAATTTGAGTCTCCAGCTCTTTTTGGACTACAATTCTCATCATCTCTGACCACTGGTCCTGCTAGCTAGGGATGATGGGAGTTGGAGTTGGCAGCTGGAGTTGGCAGCTGGTGACCAAAGTTTGGGAAACCCTGGTATCAACTCAGGTACCATGTGCATTATTTAGGAACCTAATTTTCTTTTCAAGCCCAGCAATGCTATTCAGCAGGGTGAAGTGACCTTCTTTAGCTTGCAGAGAGTTGGTAAAGGCATAAACTGGTGTTTGAATGGTGCAGCACAACTTAATGTATGGTGCAGCAAAACTTTATGAAAAGTTTGGCGTAGCAGAGTGTGTATGTTTGCACTCCTCTCCAGGCAGCAAAATGTATTGGGCCAGCACTGATTTCCTCTACCCCTCTTCATACATCCTTTCTCCATCAGGAATAACTTGTCCAGAGAACAGCCATTATGAGCCTTGCTCTACTGCCTGCCCAGCCAGCTGCTTAGATTCTACAGCCCCACTTTATTGCAATGAGCCTTGCAGGTAAGGACAGGCAAATCCATCAGTTTTGGTTTCTTTCAGTTTTTCAGTTTTCCAATCACACACTCCTCATTCTTAGTTTGCATTTTTTTTAAGTCCTCAAGGAAATCCATCAGCATTTATTGCAAATTTCTCCCAATAGACACATATTTGTGTGCAATTTCCCCTAATAGACAGAATTTTGCAAAGCAGTTCCCCCTAATAAAATGCATTTTTGTATCTTATTTTCACAAATGTATGCATTTTTATACACACTTTACCTAAGCATATGCCCAAAAATGGAAAAAAGAAGTCCCAGCAAAAGAAAAATGGATACAAAAACTTACTGAATATGCAGAAATGGCAAAAATTACCGGAAAAATAAGAAATCAAGATAACAAACTTTTTATAAAATAATGGAAATGGTTTATTGAATATTTACAGGCAAACTGTAAACAGATAAGAACATTGCCAAGATTATTGTAATAACCTGCAGTTTTATAAGAGTATACACTTAAAGCAGATGAATAAGTGAGCAAATTAAGTTAATTTGGATATGCAGAAAATATTAAAAATAAATTTAAGGAATCACAGAAAGAGGGGGAAGGAAGTCACGTTTTGAAATGTTAAAATGATTGTAAAATTATTGAAATGTATAAAATTGGAAATCATAAAGAAGCATATGCATTTCTGTACACATTATTGGCTGGAGAACTGCAGTGCAAAATTCGCAGGAATTTCGGCTTGAAAAGTACGAATTAGGAGGACTCACCTCTAAACGTGGGTGCCAACTCCTTGGGGCCCTGGGTGCCTGAGCACCCACAAAATCCCCCATGAAGGCGCTGGGCACCCACAAATTTCGGTGCCAGGGTCATGCATGCTATACTCACGGCCCTGGGCTCCCATGGTTGCGGTGCCAACCTGACACTCCTGCCTCTAAATGTGAACTGAATTGACTTTCTTCCCTGTCCCCTACTTGCAGGGAGGGCTGCTTTTGCAACAGAGGCTACATTCTTAGCGGAGGAGCTTGTGTGCCCCTGGACCATTGCGGCTGCACTCTGAACGGCCGGTATTACCAGCTGGGAGATGACGTGATCCTGACAGATACCTGCAGCCAGAAATGCTCCTGTAGGCGCCCTTCCTACCCCATGGAGTGCCAGAAGCATGCATGTGGGGCTCTGGAAACGTGCAGAGTTGTGGGCGGCTTGCTGGGCTGTTACCCGGCGACCTTTGGCAACTCCTGGGTGTTTGGGGACCCCCATTACGTCACTTTTGATGGGGTCGCATTTGACTATGAGGGAACGTGCAAATACACGCTGAGCAAGTACTGTGCCCCCCAGGGAGCCCTCCCTTACTTCGCCATAAAAGTGGAGAACGAACACCGGGGCTCCTTGGCCGCAACATGGGCACGTCTGGTGGAGATAGACGTCTATGGGGAGCACATTGCCGTAGCGGCTGGTCAGTATGGCAAAGTGCAGGTAAGGACCTTGTCCGTATTCTTTCCTTGTCTCGTTCCACCTGGCATTATTTTCTTTTGCATGGCGGAAAAGGATCTCAGTGGTTGGATGCACAAACACTTGGGCAGGCTTGGCAGAGGAGGAGGAACACGGGCTGCATGCAGATGCAGACCTGGATCCCTGTTGTCACACTCAATGGGATGCATGTTCTTAATTGTGTGTTTTATTTATCTGATGGGATTTGTATACTAGTTAATCGTAGGGTTGCAATTTGTCCGGAACTTCCCAGGTACATCCTGAATACTGCACGATAGCAGTGTCCGGGCGATAAAATGTCGGTTGTGTCATTTTCACTGATTTTCCTTAAAAGTAGCTCAAAAGCGTCATTTTTTGTGATTTTGCCAAAAAAACCCCAACAGTCAACAACTTTGGCACAAAACAAAAAACTCAACAACTTTTCTCTCTGGATTTTCACTGTCTGGATTCTTATAAGCAGTTTACAGAAAATAAAATGCACATTAAGATTATAAGTAAAAGTCATTTAACCTACTTTTTTTTTTACAACATATAAATAAAATCAGCTATTTAAAAAAAGATACGTTGTTTTCAGCACTACACCTCCAGCATCTATCTGAATTAGCCACTGCCTTTCTATACAGATATTGTGCAGTCCAAGGGCTGGTGTCCGTCCTGGGTCTCCTGCAAGTGTGATTCCCGAATCAGCAGGGGGTGCACACATAGAACCCTTCCTGCGTATGAATTACCCTTTGCTACAAATGGTTGTCACCTATACTCTTGAATTCATATTGCAACTTAAGCCAGTGGCGCTTATTTGGCTGGTACAATATCTTACTTACGAGTCTTACTTTGGATCTAGCCAGTGCTTTTTTTCTGGGGGGAAAGCAGGGGTTTGCATACCCCCTTAAACATTTTGTGAATCTAAGTTTGGCCTCATTGAGGGGCAGTATTTCAATATGAGTAGGAAAATGAGAGTACCCATACATATTTTTTTTGGAGGGGGGAGCGCCTGGAACTAGCTTTTTATTGTAGCTTTGCTAGGATGTACTGAACCAGCAAATTCTGAAGATGCCAAGGTTTGGCCAGTGAGAAATTGTGCAATGGTAAAACCTTCAGAAGGTATTACATCCACAACTGAAATGTTTACTTGCTTATTAATCAGGAGAGAGAAAAAATAAAGTCGTACCTTGGTTTTCAAACAGCTTAGTTCTCAAATGTTCTGGCTCCCGAAACCTGGAAGTGTGTGTTTCGGTTTGCGAACTATTTTTGGAAGCTGAACATCCGACGGTGCTTCCGCGGCTTCCGATTGGCTGTAGGAGCTTCCTGAAGCCAATCAGAAGCCACACATTGGCTTTCAAATGTTTTGGAAGTCGAACGGACTTCCAGAACAGATTCTTTTCGACTTCCAAGGTACGACTGTAATGTGGAGCTCATTGTTCAAGAGTTCTCTAGTGGGATGTGCCTTGGGGTTCCAGTGTGAGGGCTTCCTCTATGGCTTATTCAGTCCACAATAACTTACTGGCTTGCTTAATATGTAAAGTGAGTGTGCTGCACCCTTTTGTTAAGTGATGGAAGGAATGTAACTCTGGGTTAAATTGGTTGCGGTGGTTGCTATTCAGTAATCCCCTGAGAGCACTCTGTGGTCCAACCACTAATATGCGGCATAATCTATCTGACAGAAATGTGGGTAGAGAAAACCACATCAGTAATTTTTTATTATTATTGAAATCAATAAAGTGGTTTGCTCATTAAAGTAGGCTTGGCTACGTCCAACGACAATTCGGCTTGAGAAATGTATGCTGCACCAGCTTTAAAAGTGCCTTGATAGACAAATCACACGCACCTCTACTATACTTGTTTGGGAAATGGGAGGAAAAGGACTGGGCTGCAACAGAGCCATTCCCCTCTAGGAACATTGGAAGCTGCTTTTAATGAGTCAGACTGCTATTCCACCTGGCTGATTGTGCATGCTGATTGGCAGTGGCTCTCCAGGGTTTCAGGTAGGGAGTCCCTAACTGCCCTAGGTGGAGATGGTGGGGATGGAACCTGAGGTCCTCTGCATCTTCTAACACTGAGCTACTGCCATTACCAAAAAAGTAATGGATGGTGGAAGGCTTCCAAAAAGATTGACGATCGTCAGAGTTGGGAAGGATGGTCTATTGTGACAAGCGGACGCTCTCCGGGATGTCAACCCTACTCAGAGATGCAAGGGATTGAACTGGAACCTTCTGCATGTGAAGTATGTATAGATGGAGCAGCTATGGCCTTTATCCATCTAGGCTGAGTTGTGTTTGCCCTGTGCACTGAAGTATCGTTACAACATTTTGTCCTGCCTCTCCTCTACGTAGCTCTATACTTCTCCCATTTTAAAAACACCATTAAGTTGTCTGAAACCACATGCCCCACCCAGAACTTGCGATGGGTGAACTTGTGGCTGGACCGTGTTGCTGAACTCCAACTCCCATCAGCCTCAGTCAGCATGGCCAGGGATGATGGGAGCTGGAGTCCATGAACATCTGGAGGTCACCAAGTTGGGAAAGGCTGTCATGAAGGCCGCTTAAGGATTTGGGCCTGTCATTCACTGTGAATGCAGCCGTAATGGTCTGAGAAAGACATCTCCCTGCCTTTCTTTCCATTTAGCTGAACGGCATCCTCCTCCAGCTGCCTTTCGACTTCGGAAACGGGAAGATCTATGGCTACTATAGTGGCTTCTCTGCCATCATCCAGACCGATTTTGGCCTCTTTGTCTCTTACGACTGGTCCTACTATGTGTCATTTTCTGTCCCCAAGTCCTATTCCGGACTGCTCTGCGGCCTCAGTGGAGACTTCAATGGGAATCGGAGCGACGACTTCAAAAGCCCCAATGGCACTGTGCTCTCGGATGCTGCCGCTTTTAGCAATAGCTGGAAGGAGGCCAGCTCACCTTTCCACTGCACAGTTGTTGGGTTTCCGCCACGCTGTGACGAAGACCTGCTAGACCGGTACTCCTCTGTGAGCTCCTGCGGAATCATCCGCGATCCAGATGGGCCATTTAGACTCTGCAGTGACCCCGATGTGACACAGGCCCACTTCGAGAGCTGCGTGAAGGACATGTGTGTCACGAACGGCAGCAATTTGTGTGAGGTCCTGGGCACGTATGCCCAGCAGTGCCAAATTCACGGAGCCATCATTCAGCCCTGGAGGGAGATCACTGGGTGTGGTAAGGGATTGACAACTGACATGTGAACTGCAATAGCAATACTGGTCACAGTGTTTTAGAGCAGTTATGCTATGATTTCTAGAACGAGAAAGAAAAGCTTATTAAGTGGTCCACTGGGACCCCCAACAATTTTTTCAACTGGTTTACAGAGGGAGAAGAAAAAAGTTTGAGAATCACTGCTTTAGTGTATTCAGAGAATTTTGAACACATTTTCTCACTCATCCTTACAACAGTCCTATAAGGGGTGTGTGGGGGGGTGAGGTTGGGACTGAGAAATTAAGGCTGGTAGAAACAGCATCAGTGCCTGCTAAAGCCACAGCACCAAAACAAAGTTTGCCACTGAAGTCTGCTCTGCAATCCTTTTTAAAAATAAAATTAAAAAGTTGCATCTGCCAGATGTCCATTGCAATCAACTCCTCTACAATTTTGACCTATTTACTGATAGCAGAATAGTTTCTTTAATTACTTTAGTAGTTTATAATAATTTCAAAGGTAATTAAAGCTAGGAGGTGCAGCTGGCCTTTTCCCTGGAGATTAATTTCCAGTATCATAAGCAGTAGGGACGCGGGTGGCGCTGTGGTCTAAACCACTGAGCCTCTTGGGCTTGCCGATCAGAAGGTTGGCGGTTTGAATCCCCGCGATGGGGTGAGCTCCTGTTATTCAGTCCCAGCTCCTGCCAACCTAGCAGTTCAAAAGCAAGTAGATAAATGTGCAAGTAGATAAATAGGTACAGCTCCGGCGAGAACGTAAATGGTGTTTCCATGCGCTGCTCTGGTTTCGGTGTTCCATTGCACCAGAAGCAGCTTAGCCATGCTGGCCACATGACCCGGAAAGCTGTCTGTGGACAAACGCCAGCTCCCTCGGCCTGTAAAGCGAGATGAGCACCACAACCCCAGAGTTGTCTGCGACTGGACTTAACTGCCATGGGTCCTTTACCTTTTTATCATAAGCAGTGCTTGGACGCATGCTGTAATTTCTCCTCACTCCTGGTTCATGCATCTTTCAGATAGGATTTCTCTATTCCCTCGACAGCAAGCATCTAGGAGTAAATGCTTGTTATCTCTGTCCGTGGAGATAAGAACAACAGATAACTCTGTCACAATTATTCACCACTTAATTACAACTTTTGAGGAGCTCTGAAAGCTGCGACCGACCTGCTCAGCTCCTTCCCGGAAGTCGGTCTCCTCTACAGTGTTGAAGGAGCTGCGCTTTTGCATTCTCAATATCTTTTCGTTTGTGCTTGTTTCAGAGTTGCGCTGCCCTGCCAACAGCCACTATGAGCTCTGTGGACCTTCCTGCCCTGCTTCTTGTGCCCACCCAGCTGTGCCCTCTCGTTGCCGGACTGGGTGTGTCGAAGGGTGTCCATGCAACCCTGGCTTCGTGCTAAGTGGCACTGAGTGTGTGCCTCGCCAGCAGTGTGGCTGCACTCACGGTGGAAGATACTACCTGACTGAGGAAACCTTCTGGCAAGGAGAAAACTGCAGTAGCTTTTGCCGCTGCGATAGCACCACCCATGCCGTCATGTGCACCCTCTCATCCTGTAGTCCTGGAGAGTTCTGTGGCATTCGCAAAGGCGTTTATGGTTGCCACAAGCTGTTGGGTGGCACTTGTTGGGCTTCGGGGCATCTCCACTACACTACATTTGATGGCCGGCATTATGACTTCTGGGACACCTGCAAGTACATATTTGCAGAGCTGTGTGCGGCAAACACATCTTTACCCTTCTTCAGGGTTGAGGTTAAGAACGAGAAGCTGCACAACAGATCTTTGTCTGTGACCTCAGAGGTGTTTGTGCAAGTGGGCACCCATCAAATACACCTGCAGAATAGACGCCGGGGAACCGTCAAGGTAAAGAGCATGGGGGAAAGCTCTTAAGCAGCGGCAAGCAGCCTTTTTGCTCCTACAGCATTGGCAGGGGTGGGGCCACACTAAGGAGCTGCATACAGGCTTTCCCTGCCATGTAGGGGGCGGGGGGAGAAGACCCTCCCCTAGTGGCGGAGCTTCATGCTCTGGCACCGGGGGGCGCAGAGCAGGCAGGGGCAGGGCTAGTGCACATTCCAGAGGAGTGGCGCACCGCCCGCAGGGGCATGACGGGCATCCTGGGGGCATGGCATGATCCCTGTGGGGGCATGGCGCCCAGCACGGGCAGGGGAGCAGCCGTGATGGCACCCCACCAGGATCACGCTGCCGGGGGCGGTGCACTCCACCCCCCACTCCTCTTCCTCCGCCAGTGTCTGCCCCCACCTTGGCAGGGTGAGAGAATCCCCTTTGAAAGCAGGGGTTGCATTGGTGACAGCCACCTTTTTTCAGTTACAAAGACTCTCCATGCTTTGGTGGAGAAGAATACAATGGGGGTGCAGTCAGCCCCACTGGGAAGCAGTCTTAGTGACATATTTGCAGCATCACCTGCAGTGGCTGAAGTTCCATGGCTCATACGGTGGCAGAGCAGCCCCCAAAATGGGTAAAGATGGTGGTAGCAGAGGGACCACCCAGGAGGCCATGTTAAGAGGGCCACATGTGGCTCACTGATTGCCCACACATACACCAGACTGTGGAGGTAAGGTCCATCCTGCTCTTGTGAAGAATCTGGTCGGGGCTATGATTTGTAGCGAGATGAGATGCAGATACAAAATTCAGAGAAATGGGGCGTGGGGAGGGATTTTAAATATGAAGAAGGAGCAGGGCAACAACAGAAGAGAACTGACATAGCCACAGGCATATAAATTTATTTTATTTTATTTTGACAAAGTAATAATCACAAATAAATAAGAATAAAAATGTGCACCCCACCACTGAGACCATTTCATTGTAACTATTCAACCTCCGAAAATTTCAACACCTCTTGTGATGGTTTGACCCCTTTCTGTTTTTACAGTACAAATTCTACAGACACCTTCCATATCTCCTCAAAATCATTTCTCCAGCATATTCCTCATCCTACCTTAATGGCACATGTTAATTTATCATTAATAGCTAAATCCCACACCATTTTTCCATTTTATATTCTGCTTTCCCCTTCCACTTCCTAGCTATAATAATTCGTGCAGCTGTCAATAAATTTGTGAGCAAGTCGTTCAAAGCCTGCGAACCTTCCATCCCATCATAAATTGATAATAATGCTTTAACCTAGTGATTTCTGTTATCATATGAAAATTTAAGGCAGGCTTCCCTAACCTGGTGTCCTCTAGATGTCTTGGGCTGCAAATTCTATCATTTCTAGCCATCGGCCATCCTGGCTGGGGCTGATGGGAGCTGTACTAAAAAAAAACTGGAGGGCTCCAGGTTGGGGAAGAATGTACTGAGGGGGCAATTGGGTTGGCTCATAGTTAGGCAAGGATTATTTCGCAACAGGAGCTAAGATGCAGAGTTGGAGTAAAGCAGGTATGAGACTCATGCAGAAGTCAAGGAGAGACCTCCGTGAAACAGGAAACTAGACAATGAGAGTGCAAGAGACCCTGGAACCAAGCCTAGTCAAGGCAAAGTCGCAGCAATGAGTCTCTTGATGTCCAGGTAAGCTACTCGATCTCACCAAGGCCAGATTAGTAAAGATTCCAGGACAATTGTTGTTTTGGAGTTGTCCTTAGATTGGCCACTTAAGCCCCACATGAAACGCATCACTAAAAGTGGGGCCACCAATCTGCATCAAATTTGCACATTAAAAATTCTACACTCAACTCCTGAACTTTGTTCCGAAGTAAGGAGAACAGGAATGGTTTCTTAAGGGCCAAAGTAACTTCACCACCAGAAGCCTTGTTGCGGAAGAGAAGCGTACCAGTTCCTTGATGACCCTTCAGATTAACCAGTCTCTGACTTTTTGCTTGTTTCAATCAGATTGATGGGATAACTGCAAACCTTCCAGCCAACGTTAATCAAGGAGAAGCTGTCATTTATGAGCATGGAGTGTACACAACACTGAGAGCGAAGTTTGGCCTGGCAGTGAGCTTTGACCTGGCCCACAGCCTTTTTGTCACCATCCCCGCCGAATACATGGGCCACACCTGCGGGCTTTGTGGGAACTTCAACGGAGCTGCCGCTGATGACTTTATGATGCAAGACGGCTCCTTGGGGAAGAATGTCTCCTACTTTGCTGCGGGTTGGAAATCTGAGACTGTGCCGGGCTGTGACGGTGGCTCAGCTGACCCCTACCCTCAGTGCCTGGAGCAGGAACAGATCTTCCAGGCAAAATGTGGATGTTGGATCATCCAGAACCCCACTGGGCCCTTTGCTCCTTGTCGGTCTGAAATTAGCCCTGAGCCCTATCTGTCTGATTGTATATTTGACCTCTGTGCCTCTCCAGGGGACAGCAGGGTCCTGTGCCAGTCCATTCAGAAGTATGCCGCAGCCTGCCAGAGAGAAAACCTGAGCATCTCAGCTTGGAGGAACGATACTTTCTGCAGTACGTATCTTGGAGCTGTGTTACACTTGAAGCAGAGAAATCTGTCCGTGTTGGTTTCTCATCATTTCTCATTTTTCCCAGTCTTAAGTTCAGTTCTCCACATTTTTGCAACGGTTTGCGATTTAAAAAATGCTCATGAAAACCTGTAAAAATGTAATTGCACACTTCCCCCCAGTATACACATTTTTTGTACTGTATTTTACCTGATTTCCCATTTTTGCAAAGCAACTTATATAATGCACTTTATATGTTATTTTCACTACTATATGCATCTTAACGCACACTTTCCATTAAAAGAAGGATTTTTTTGTACACAGATGGGAGCTGCAGAAAAGTGTGAAATTTGAAAGATATCAGAACATGCAAATTAGGTAGATTCTCAGTGAAATTCAAGCTGAATTCCTTCCCCTTCCCTACTTACACGCACAACAATTACACTACATGGACATAAGAAGAAAATGGTTATAATTATCATTAAACTTTCGTATTTAGGGGGAAACATGCCCATAAGGAGAGAGAAAATTGCTTTCTGTTTCACCGGCCTCACAATTTACTTTATTTATTCTCCTCCATTTCTTGTGGTGAAAAAAGTATGTAATAATAATAGCTCCCCCTGAAAAGGCTGCTGTAATTTTTAAAAGGCTTTTGCTTCTCAGTGGGGTGGAAATCGCAGAATTTTACAAACTCGGTATGGTATTGAAGTAAACTTTACTCAGAGGAGATCCGTTGAAATTAATGAACACGACTAAGTTAGGTACATTGATTTCAATGGCTCTGAATAAAACTTAATTGAGTACCACCTTGGGGCTGAGCAAAAATGGTCTCCCAAATTTCTCCATGGTTTTTGTGGGTGACAAAATGGGTGTGTAATGGGGACTGATATCCTTGGAGAGGGAGCTGAAATTCTCCAACACCTTATCTCTGAAAACTGTCTTTTGTTAAAATTTGGTTTATTTAATGTTGAATGAAACTCTGGGCTGCTCCAGACTGGTGGTGGTTGTTGCTGTTGTGTTCCAAAACGTTAATGATGCACAAATAGTGCATTAGCAGTGGGCTTATCCACACACCATTCTGCAAAGCTCATACAAATAACAAACTTAGTTGGTCTCTAAGGTGCTACTGGAAGGAATTTTTTTATTTTGTTTCGACTATGGCAGACCAACACGGCTGCCTACCTGTAACCATTCTGCTATGTTAGTTGATCCACAGCTGCAACCAACATTAACGTCAGGAGTGCAGAAACCATTTTGCCAAGCACCGTGTAGGGGAGGACTGAAATCCTCTTTAACGGTTCAGGAGGAGGTCGAAAAAGAAAAGATAAATCTGAAACTTGCCAGAAAATTATTTTCAGGAAAAGTGCTTTCTTCTTCCCCACCCCTAGATCTCCAGTGCCCACAACACAGTCACTACGAGCTCTGTGGCAGTCCTTCGCATCAGTTGTGCTTCGGGACCTGGCTCCAGAACGTCTCTGCCTCTACTTGCTCTGAAGGGTGCTTCTGTGACGACGGTTACTATTGGAATGGCAATGAGTGTGTCCTGCCTGAGCAGTGTGGCTGCAAGCATGATGGGCGCCACTACAAAGTGAGCTGGTTGTCCAGTCCAGTCAAAGCCAATGTTATAATAATAATAGTTATAAGAAAAACTGCTCCCTTTTCCTTTTGGGGTACGGTGGTACCTCAGGTTAAGAACTTAATTCGTTCCGGAGGTCCGTTCTTAACCTGAAACTGTTCTTAACCTGAAGCACCACTTTAGCTAATGGGGACTCCCACTGCCGCCGCCACGCAATTTCTGTTCTCATCCTGAAGCAAAGTTCTTAACCCGAGGTACTATTTCTGGGTTAGCGGAGTCTGTAACCTGAAGCATCGGTAACCTGAAGCATCTGTAACCCAAGGTACCACTGTATTCCAGAGCCTGTATAGAGTCCTTAAGTGAGTTTCCTATTGGTAGGACAAAACAACAGAGGCCAACCAGATTATATTGAGAATCAAAGTGGCTAGTAAGCCTGGTCTTTATTCAAGGAACTGTTATAACAGGGTCCCCACTCACCACACATAGAAGGGAGGGAGAACCCTGAGCAATGGTGCACAAACCCTTATATAGACTTTTGAAATTGCCCACCCTGTAGCCCAAAACCACCTCCCCAAAACATCATACATACATCACAGAAGGAGGCGGTCTACAGCAGAAGTCCTGTCTGCCAGGATATGTTATAATGGTCACTGGTTGCATTACCTGGACAGCTTGGCCATTCTTTTGTGATGGTTAATACTTTAGTTCCTGAATCCAGGTCACAGGCTCAAATTCATACATAAATACGCCCTTAAGACAGGATTTGCAAGCAAAAAGACAATGGGATGGCTTTCCCCATTTGCCTCCCTTGCTGCAGAGGAATATCTGAAGTCATTGGGAGAGTCAAAATGGCTCCAGGATTGCTCTCCCATACTATTTCAGGCACATGGTTCATATATTTAGATATGTGCATTTATGAACATTTATTCTATATTTGAGACCTTAAAATTCTTATAATGTTTGTTTGTCTGTTGTACTCCACCCATCTGACTGGTTTGCCCCAGCCATTCTGGGCAGCCACTTCCAACAAAATATAAAGGAACATGGCAAAACATAAAACAATAAAAGCTTCCTGAATAGTGCGTAATTTGGGAGGGGTTATAGATCAGGAGTGGAGCCCTTGCTTTCCGTATGGAAGGGACCAGGCAGCAGGTTGTGAGCAACACCTGGGCCTGAGATTGTAGAGGGCTGCTAAATAAGTCTCTTCTGCTTTAAGGCCACTTCCTAATATTACCCAAGTTATTGCCCTGCCACCTTTGCCTAAGGCAGGAAAATGTCTTGGGCCAGCTGCGGGTACATTGAAGGAGTTATACTATATGATGGCCATTTCCCTTTGTCTTCCTCATGCAGGTTAGAGGCCATATCTGGCTGCCCGGCTGTGCTAAAAAATGCATCTGTGACCCCCAGGGCAATTTCCGTTGTTTCGCAGCTAAATGCAACCGGGGCCAGCAGTGCGCCCTGAGGGACGGACAGTGGGGCTGCCGGAGTTTCCTGACCACCTGCGTTGTGACGGGAGACCCTCACTACTTCACCTTTGACGGTGCAGTGGTGCACTTCCAGGGCAGCTGTGACTACGAGGTCTCTTACACTTGCAACTCTTCCCGGGATTTCTCCTTCCGGGTTATGGCTGCCAACAGGCATTTCTGGAAACCCAGCGTATCCTTCGTTTACCGAGTTGAAATCTGGCTCCTCACCAGCCACTCGAGTTTCCACATCGTCCTAGAGAGAGGCAAAGCTGCCCATGTGAGTTGAGGCGGGATGCTCACTGTTATCAGGCCTGTGAGCTTGCGCTGATTTAGTCAGCAGGGCCATGGACCTGGTGTTGGAATTGGAACTGGAGGGTGTGTGGCCAGTGGCGGCTGGAGCCCATTGCAACTGGTAGGGTGGCTGGACAATGGTAGGCAGAGTTAGAACGAAAGATAGGGGGAACCAACTGTGGTGATCACACAGGGTCCCCGGACGTTTCACCGTCTATTGATCCCTGTGCCACCACTTTATTTCTCGCTGCCACCACCCAGGCCCTACCTGGTGCAATACTGAGTCCAGTCAGGGTTAAATTGGAACATAAACTTTTGTTTATTTATTGCAGTTTAACAAGCGTGTGGTTTCATAAACAGTATTGGTCAATTACATGCATGGGGTGCCTATCCAGACCTATAACTTCCGCTACCTGCTCTCACTCACTAAACCACCTCTCTGATATTTGCTTGTCTTCCTAGCCCCTAACTGTTCCTGACTCAGCTTATTTCGCTACACTAACTCAACCTCCCCACAGACTCTATCCCAATTCACTCCCACTCCAACCAACCACCCAACTCCCAACAAACTCTCCCCTCCACCCCTCCCAGAGCTGGTTTTATAGTCCCTCTGACTCCACCCCCCCCCAGGGTTCCAATTGGGTAACCTGTTTAACTATTTCACCTCCAGCACTCTCATATGTTAACGTCACACCAACTAATGCTAGTTTGGCCCCCGCCCTCCTTTCTGCTGTGTTGCCGGAGCAAAACTGAGACCAAAGCAGAGGTGGTTGGCTGGCATTGTCTTCTTGTAAGTAAGGTAGGCAGCTGGGGGGGTGGCTGAGGGCAGACCCAGGTTGGTGTGGCAGTGCCTACTGAGCTACCCTCTGTTGAACATGGCTGGTTACCAGGCAAGAAAACAACGAACAGGGTGGTGATACAATGACTACTGCAAACGACACGAGATAATATTGACGCAAGGCAACTATCTGTAAACAAGCAATAAGCATCCATAAAAATGGCAGAAGTAGGTTCTTTCCCAAATAGGTTTTATCTTAAACAATAGCAAACACAGTAAATAAAGAGTTCTCTTGTGATATATCAGTGGTTCAGTGCTCATTTCTTCTCTTTCCAAAAAAGATTTTGGAAATTCTATTAAATAGGAGGTTTAACAAACTGAAGGACTTTGTCCTCTTTCTATGCTCCTCCCGATGGAAACACACAGATGGAAACAGATATATCCCTGCTTTAAGTCATTCACATACTGTCTTTTCCTGTATATTATTTATTACAAAGCTTGATGACTAAGCTCTTTAGCGACGAAATGTCTGATTACCAGACCGACGTCTGAGCACTGAACCACTGGTATATCACAAGTGGACTATTTATTACTGCATTTGCAATTGCTCTAGATAAAATCTATTTTGGAAAGAGAAGAAATGAGCACTGAACCACTGATATATCACAAGTTAGCTCTTTATTTACTGCCCTGGTTCAAGACCCCCACCGCCTTACTGTTAGCAACACAGCTAACAGGAAAAACAAAGCTAGTACTACAGAAACTGCTTTTCTTTCCCTGCCCCTTTTAATATACAGGTTAATGGCAGAAGGACCCAGTTGCCAGCCCATGTTGGATCCATTGCTCTGATCTTCAGACTGAGGCACATGGTGGTCGTAAGAACGAAAGCCAACTTGGAGATCCAGTTCAATGGGGCCAGCAGTTTGTTCATCCGTGTGGGCCCAGAGTATCAACATCAGCTGTGTGGAATATGTGGAAATTTCAACGGTGATGCCACTGATGATAAAGTCCTGCTCAGCGGAGAGAAAGATCTGAGTGATGCAGAGTTTGGGAATGCCTGGATATCAAGCACCAGCCCCAAGTGGTAGGAGTATTCACTTTCCCCCAGAGCTAAAATGGAACCTGCTCTGTTCTCCTGTGACCTATATTCCATGCAAACAGGGCTGGTCCTGCCATAAGGCAGAGTTGAATTAGCCAGCTTAGACAGCAGATGCCGTGGTGTGTCACACAACCTGCCCTACACCTTGTAAAATAGCCTGCTGGCCGCAGATGCTGTGTGTTTAAGTAAGATTCAACCACTAGTCCACTGAGATTCTGTACATGGAATTGTGGGGGAGCCATTTTTTAATTTTATTTTTTGCCTCGGGTAGCGAAAAATCTTGAGCCAGTCTTGCATGAAACCCTTTCTTAGGGAAACACAACTGCCCAACCTTATCAGCAGAGGTGTTGGAAGAAAAGCAGTTCTCTCACAAGGCAGTCCTCTCTCTCTCTCTCCAATTGCCGCTAGAGAGGCTGTTGACGTATTATCTTCCCCTAAGGAGAAGAGAGAAGAACGAGAAACACTCTGGTGAGCTACCATCCAACTCCCAGTTGTGGTTCCTCCGTGCCCCAATGGCCACCGGAGGATGTTTTGTTTTTGTTTTTTTAATATAATATTTATTGGTTTTACAAAAAAAATAAAATAAATAAATACAAAAATTCCAAAACATACAAAAATACAAAAATTCCAAAGACAAAAAACAACAATAACAATGACAAAAAGAAAGCAAAAGATAACAATAACCATAAAAAAGAAAAAACAGAAAAATTTAAAAATTTATACTTTCATTTAACCTTCTTATCTTTCCTTAGTTCTTTGACTTCCCCGCACCTCCCCACTTGTATTTCCATTTAAAAACTCCTTTCAGCAAATCCTTACCCTCCTTCCTTTATCTTAACTCAAAAACTTAATCTATTTATAAATAGATATTTTTACAACCTTATCAATCAAATATTCCATGCTCTTAAACGCAAGGCTTTTGCCAATACCAGTTATTTTCAATCAGACCTCAATTTAACATTCATTAATTTTATAGTATTTCTGTAAATAGTCTTTAAATTTCTTCCAATCTTCTTCCACCGACTCTTCTCCCTGGTCACGGATTCTGCCAGTCATTTCCGCCAATTCCATATAATCGATTACCTTCATCTGCCATTCTTCCAGAGTGGGTAAGTCTTGTGTCTTCCAATACTTTGCGATAAGTATCCTTGCTGCTGCTGTTGCATACATAAAGAAAGTTCTATCTTTCTTTGGCACCAATTGGCCAACAATGCCCAGGAGGAAGGCCTCTGGTTTCTTTAAGAAGGTATACTTAAATACCTTTTTCAACTCATTATATATCATTTCCCAGAAGGCCTTAATCTTTGGGCACGTCCACCAAAGGTGAAAGAATGTACCTTCAGTTTCATTACATTTCCAACATTTATTATCGGGCAGATGGTAGATTTTTGCAAGCTTGACTGGGGTCATGTACCACCTGTACACCATTTTCATTATATTCTCTTTTAAAGCATTACATGCTGTAAACTTCGTACCTGTGGTCCATAACCGTTCCCAGTCAGCAAACATGATGTTATGTCCAACATCCTGTGCCCATTTAATCATAGCAGATTTTACCGTTTCATCCTGAGTATTCCATTTTAGCAGCAAGTTATACATTCTTGAAAGTGTTTTAGTTTTGGGATCTAGCAGTTCTATTTCCAACTTTGATTTTTCCACCTGGAAGCCAATTTTTCTATCCAAATTATAGACCTCTCTTATTTGGTAATAATGCAACCAGTCTCGCACTCTATCTTTTAGTTTCTCAAAACTCTGCAATTTGAATTTATCTCCTTCTTGTTCCAAGATCTCCCAATATTTTGGCCACTTGGCCTCCATATTGGGCTTTTTCAGAGCCTTTGCCTCCATTGGTGATAGCCACCTTGGGGTTTTATTCTCCAATAAGTCTTTATATCTTATCCAGACATTGAACAATGCTTTCCTGACAATATGGTTTTTAAATACTTTGTGAGCTTTAACCTTGTCATACCACAAATATGCATGCCACCCAAACACATTATTGAAACTTTCTAAGTCCAAAACATCAGTATTTTCCAGAAGTAACCAATCCTTCAACCAGCAGAAAGCTGCTGATTCATAATAAAGTTTAAAGTCTGGCAGGGCAAATCCCCTCTTTCTTTAGCATCAGTCAATATTTTAAGTTTTATCCTGGGCCTCTTGCCCTGCCAGACAAACTTAGAGATATCTCTCTGCCACTTCTTAAAACAATCCATTTTGTCTATTATTTGTATCGATTGAAACAAAAACAGCATTCTTGGCAATACATTCATCTTGATGACAGCAATTCGACCTAACAAGGAAAGCTTCAAATTTGTCCATATTTCTAAATCCTTTTAATGTCCGACCAACACTTTTCATAATTGTCTTTAAATAAATTCCCATTTTTAGCTGTCATATGAATCCCCAAGTATTTCACTTTTTTTACCACTGTTAAACCTGTCTCATTCTGAAACCTCTCTTTTTCAATCGGTGTTAAATTCTTCTCAAGTACTTTAGTTTTAAACTTATTCAGCTTAAAACCTGCCACCTGACCAAACTCTTGAATCAGTTCTAATGCTCTTTTCGTACTAGATTCTGGCTCCTGTAATGTCAATACAAGGTCATCCGCAAATGCTTTCAGTTTATATTGTTTCGCTCCGACCGTTATACCCTTAATCAAATGGTCCCTTCTTATCATATTTAACAGAACCTCCAGAACAGAAATAAAAAGTAATGGGGAAATTGGGCAGCCTTGTCGTGTCCCTTTCTCTATCTTAATTTCCTCTGTTATCACATTATTAACTATTAATTTAGCTTTTTGTTCTGAATAAATTGCATTTATACCATTTTCAAACTCTTGGCCTACCCCCTGGAGATTTTTCTTCATAAAACTCCAGGAAATGTTATCAAAGGCTTTCTCTGCATCCACAAAAATCAGAACTGCTTTAGTGTTAATCTCCTCTTGCAGCTTCTCCAGAATATCAATTATATTCCTTGTGTTATCCGAAAGATGTCTATCTGGAAGAAAGCCAGCTTGGTCCTTGTGAATCACTTCTTTAAGCCTTTTTGCTAAAATGTCAGCAAAAATTTTGTAATCCACATTTAACAGGGATATGGGCCGATAGTTCTTAAGCTGTGTCTTTTCAGTCTCAGACTTTGGTATAAGTGTAATAAATGCGTCCTTCCACGACTCTGGCGCTCTTTTCCCCTCTAAAATTTCATTGCAAACCTCAGTTAATGGTCGAATTAACCAGTCTTTCAGGGTTCTGTAATATTTTGAGGTTAAACCGTCCGGTCCTGGAGATTTTCCCAGCTGCATATTCTGAATGGCACCTTCAACCTCCTGTTCTGTAATTTTATAATTCAGCAATATCTTGTTATCCTGAGAAATTTTTTGTAATCCATTGGTTTTCAGAAATTGCTCTATTTCAAATTCTTTCTGAGGCCCTTGTGTATATAATTGTTTAAAATATCTCTGGAAGCATTTCCTAATTTCTTCTGGATTCTGGATATTTTTCCCTTCCACTTCCAAATTAGTAATAGTATTGAGTTTTTGTCGTTTCTTCAACTGCCAAGCCAGCAGTTTCCCACATTTATTTGCCGATTCAAAAGTCTTTTGTCTCATTTGTTTAATTTTCCATTCCACTTCTTGATTTATCAATTTCATATACTGCACTTGGTGCAATTTTATTTCCCTCAGAATCTCTTGTGAGTTGGGCTTCACTCTCAGTTTCTTCTCGCCCTCCTTTATTTTTTCCAAAAATTTTTCTTTCTTTACATTTTGGGCCCTCTTCTTAACTGAATTCTGTTGAATCAGGAAGCCCCTCATAACTGCTTTACTTGCGTCCCAGATTATTCTTTTTTCTACAGCTGTATTCAAATTTATCTCAAAGTAGTCTCTCAAAGTCTTTTGGGCCTTCTTAATCACCTCTTGATCTCTAAACAAGGTGTCATTCATCCTCCATCGGAAGGAACCAGTAGATGTTAACTTCATCTCCATTCTCACGGCGTTATGGTCGGAGCATGTTTTTGGGCAGATCTCTACCTTCCTAACCTTAGGTGCCAGTCCTCTAGTAGTCCAGATTTGGTCAATTCTTGTCCATGTCTTTTGGGCTTCAGAAAAAAAGGTTCCTTCTCTACCAAGGGGATTCCTAGTTCTCCAAATGTCAATCAGATCCATATTGTCAGTTAATTCAAAGAATGTTTTCGGTAGTCTGCCATCTTTAGTGACTACCTCTCTTTGTGACTTGTCCATATTTGTGGAAACCACCCCATTCATATCTCCCATAAAAACAGTGTTATAGTCCATATAGTCCATCAAGATCTCATGCAACTTTTTGTAAAATATAGATTTCCCCTCATTTGGTGCATATAAGCCTACTATCAAAAATTTTTCTCCTTGTACTTGAATTTCAATTGCTATGAGTCTTCCTTGTTCATCCTTAAAGACGAATTTTGGTGAGAGGCTCTCCTTTGCGTAAATGACCACTCCTCGTTTTTTAACTTTATCTGATGAAATAAATTCTTGGCCCAATCTCTTATTAATCAATATTTTCCTGTGGAGCCTCATCACATGAGTTTCCTGTAAGCAAATTAAATCCAATTGTTCTTTTTAAGTATATGAAATACTTTCCTCCTTTTTTCCGGAGAATTTAGGCCACAAACATTCCAAGTTAAAAGTTGCAGAGCCATGATGGTTTCTTTATTTTCCTCCAACTGCTCCCAATAACTCTTCTTCCTCTGTTGGTGGTTTCACCTTCTCTGTCTTGTCCTCTCCCGAAGGTGGTGATGTAGGATCCAATCCTGGTAAAGAGGCTTCTGGCTCCTCCCCCAATCCTTTTTGTAGGTCCTCTTGATGGTCTCTCAAAAAGTTCTGTTTCTCCTCCACAGATTTTATTTTAATTTTCTTGCCTTTAAAACTGAAAGATAGGCCTTGAGGAAATTCCCACCTGAAAAAAATTCTGTTTCCTCTCAGCAGCGTCACCAGGTCCCGGTAGTTGGACCTAAGCTCCAAAAGGAACTTTGGAATGTCTTTAAATATTTCTATCCTTGAGTCTTGTATTATCAATGTATTTCGGTAGTGTGAGCTCAAAATTTTATCTCGTTCCTCCTTAGATCGCAAGGTAATCAGGCAGTCTCTCACTCTGTTCTTTCTTGCTCCTCTTCCAAGCCTGAAAGCAGACGTTATCTTGAAATCTTCCTTATCATTCAATTGCCAAAAATTGGCAAATTCTTGTGTCAAAAAGTCTACCAGGCTCTCTTTCTCAAGCTCAGGTACTGCTCTGATCCTTAAGTTGGTCTGTTTCTCCTTTAGCTCAATCACAGATAACAATTCCTGGTGCGTTCCCAATCTTATGTGATGCTCTTCAACTTGTTTAATTAAAGGTGGTAATTTTTCTTCAGCAGCTACCGCCTTTTCTCTAGCTTCCAAAGCTATTTTTTGGGTTTCAGCAGATTGTTTCAGTAATTTTTTGATCGCATCTGTATTTTCATTAGTCTGTCGAGTCAGCTTATCAATACTTGCAGAGTTTTGTCTAATAGCTTCTAGTGCCTCGGCATTCTGTTGACCCAATTTTTCAAAACCTTCATTAACAATTTTAAATAAACTGGCAAGTCCTTCTTCCCCTTTGTTTGCATTGGATCATCTCCTTGTGGCCCAGCGATGGATGGCCTGCGCTGTTGCTGTTGAGCAATGTTGCTCTGTTGCCTGCCTTTCCCGGACCTCAAGGTTCTTTCATCCATGGCACTTTATCTAGAAATCAAGGTCACTCTCACAGTTGGAGTTGTTTTGCTGTTAAGCTTTCCCAGGCTGCTGTTGAGTGGAAAATTCCTCAGTCAGTTAGAAACTTTTTCCCCTTTGGCCTCCAGGGGGACACAAGTAATAAAGTATCAAGAATAAAAACTCTTAAAAACTTTTTAAGAACCCCTTCAGCCAAAGAGGCAACTTTTTTCCCCAAAGTTTCAATTTTGTGAAGTTAATAGGCAAGAAGATACATTGTCCATTTAGAGTGCTAACAAAATATCCAATCTTTCCAAACCTGGCAGTCTGTCCCCAGGGATTGAGAGGTGGTCTTCGTTTCCTTATCACTCTTTATTTTACACAAAAATAACAAGAAATACTGTCCCTTCTTCCCCCCCTTCTCCAATTATGGGAGGGAAAATTTTTAAATTTGACGTCTGTGTTTCAGTCTCTTTTGACAGTCTTTGGTATCGAACTCACACAGTCTTTGCTTTAATCCTTTATACAAACCGGGAGGTGGACTTCCTTTTTACACCTTCCCGCTTCAGCCAAATTTATTCAAAAATTTTAGTTGGTCCTTCTATAACGTCAAACCTACTCACGGGTTGTAGTTTTGACAGCCAAATTGTCAAGGAAGAAAGGTCAGCGCTCTCCAGCAACAGCCGCACGGCTTCACTCCGCGAAAGTAGCAGAAGACTCACAGTGCCGCGCCACCCCCGTCCTGCTTCGGAGCCCCTCGCGGGGTTCCTTTGCCGTTTAGGGGCGCGCTCCAGGCACCCGCCGAGTCCCACGACCGCAGGCTTCCTCCGCCTGCGGGTTTCGAAAGGGTCTCCGCTGCGCCGTAGCGGATCGACCCGATTTTCGCGGAGCCTCTCCTCCGGGATTAGGAGAAGATCGCCATTGCTTGTTGGCGCCGCCTCCGGAAGTCTTTTGATATTTGATAGTATTTTGATATTTTGATAGTATTTTGATGTTTTGATATTTGATAGTATTTAGGGGATGGCATACATTTTGCATTTGACAAGTAGGCCGCTTATGACATTTCCTATTTTATGGCTCCCTTTTTTTAAAAACACACACACAATACATCTGATCAGATTTGAAGTTGTTGAATGTTAAATTCTGTTTTGTTTTGCTTCTTGTTTTTCAAAATCACATTATAATGTGGATTATTCAAAATGTGAAATGGCAGAATTTGGCAAGAGGGTGAATTTCAAATATTTTCAGAGTATCCGTCATATTTACCAAGGGCAAGCAAATTTTTGTTCAGAAGAACTTTCTGATATGATTGTGATTCGTGATCATTTTAAATGATGAGATTAGTTTAACCGGTTTTCCTGATTGTTTCACATGGATATACAGTGTAACATACATTATAAAGCACCTTTGAGTTAACATTTTAACCAGAGTGGTGCAAAAAATTTCAATTAATAAACAGCTGGTTCTCCTTCAGTCTTGCCACGATTCTTGGGACTCAGCTAGTCTGGTAAAGAAAAAGTGATTTATATGCATTGTATATGCGATATAACATTGTGCCACCAGATGGCAACGTGGAGTCCCGTTTTTCTTTACCTGTTTTCCCTGTTTAAATGTACAACGCTGTAGACTGAAACGCTTCTTTGATGTGCCTGGATCCAGCCTTGTTCTTCCCATGATTCTTTTAGGTGTCAGAACGACACTGGGCGTCTTCATCCATGTCCCAAACAACATGTGTTTGAGCGGAAGTGTGCTATCCTGATCAGCGATCCTGGGCCCTTCTCCGAGTGCCATTGGCACAGAAGCCCTGACCCTTATTATGAGTCCTGTGTTTATGACCTCTGCCAGTACGGACAGGCCAACCGCATGCTATGCGGAGCCATTGAAGCCTATGATGAGATGTGCACCATTATTGGTGTGAAGGTGACAAACTGGCGTTGGGAGATTGGATGCAGTAAGCAAAAAGGGGTATTTGCTTTTATGTTGAAGTGCTTGCACATTAGGCCAATAGCTACTTCTGCCTGAGAGCTTCCTCAGTAAGATGCCTGGACCCCTTGCAAGAATCTCTGGTTCAAGACTGCCATCGGTTTCTGCTGGGTGAAAGCTCAGTCATTGTGGAGCATATGTTCCACATGCAGAAAGCCCCAACTTCTCCAGCTGGAGCTGGGAAAGCTTTCTGTCTAAAATCCTGCCAGTGACCATACAGTTGTCACCTAAGCAGCAGGATAGCTTATGTGGTTCCATCTAGATGTTGTTGGACTCCAGCTCCTATCAGCCCCAGCTAGCATCACCAGTAGTTGGTGGTGATGGGAGTGTTAGGATATAGTTACATTCCACCTTAAAAGGGTCAGGCATGACTGTTGTGTATCACATGCCTGTTTATATCCAGCACAGTCTGCTGGGAACTTCCTTTGTATGTTGCTTTTGCTATACTGCTGTTTTGCTGGACACAAAGGCATGCACACATGTTTTCCTTTGTTCCTGAACTATGTTGAATAAATGCTGTACATTTTTGCTTGCACATCTCTCTGTCTGCCTCTTCGCTGTGAGGTGATTTACACACTCTGCTGACAGAGTGTGCACGGGTCTCTAATCATATCTGAGGCTCGTTTCGCTGACTGACTGATGCTGTTCCACGGGAGACCAGTGATTGTCTGGAGCCAGCTGGGGGCCTGCCTGATGCCCCCGTCTCCCCGCATAGCTGTCAACTTTCAGATTTGAAAATAAGGGATCAGCAGCCTCGAAAATAAGGGATCAGCAGCCTCACCTGTCCCAGGGACAGTCTATGGGATATCTACCAATCCAGGATAGCAGCGGGAAGCAGTGGGAAATGGCGCTGGAATAAGGCAATTTCCCGCCAAAAAAGGGAAGGTTGACAGCTATGTCTCCCCGGCAGTATCCCAACAGGGAGCTGTAGTCCAACAACATAGAAACATAGAGTTGGAAGGGACCCCCAGGGTCCCCTAGTCCAATCCTCTGCTGTGCAGGAATCTCAGCTAAAGCATCCATGACAGGTGGCCATCAAACCTGTGCTTAAAAACCTCCAAGGAAGGAGAGCCTACATCTGGAGGGCACCTCATTGTCTATCCTCCTGCAGACAATACAAGATGATTTCTAGGTTGTTCCTGGTGCTACTGCTGTGAGTCATAAGGACCCCAAGCAGGTTCTCTCCTACATAGAGATTCAACCATTCTGTGTGTGCACTAAATATAAAAGAGGGGTAGAATAATCATTACTAATAGCTGTGTGTCTATAGGACAATAATATGCCCCTAACATGCATGCAATACGCATATCAATGTAATATTCTTGACATCTCTGTCAAAGCTGCTGAGAGTCTCATAATTAAGATCAGCCCACAATATCTTTGGGACTACAACTCCCATCATCCCTGACTATTGGCCATGCTGACTGGGGCTAATGGAATTTGCGCTCCCAAACATCTGGATTAGACAAATGGATAAGTCAAATGTCTTATGGCTAACCTCTCAAACATAATTTACCTTTGCCTCCTGTAGGAACCGTGATAATAATAATAATAATAATAATAATAATAATAATAATACATTATTTATACCCTGCCCATCTGGCTGGGTTTCCCCAGCCACTCTGGGCAGCTTCCAAAAAAACCCTAAAATACAATAACCTATTAAACATTAAAAGCTTCCCTAAACAGGGCTGCCTTCAGATGTCTTCTAAAAGTTTGGTAGTTATTTTTCTCTTTGACATCTGATGGGAGGGCGTTCCACAGGGCGGGTGCCACTACCGAGAAGGCCCTCTGCCCGGTTCCCTGTAACTTGGCTTCTCATAGCGAGGGAACCGCCAGAAGGCCCTCTGTGCACCAAAATGTTTGACCGATACAAATGCAAAAAAGAGAGACCTTACCAGGACTTTGCCTTGATATGTTAAGTTTGAGCATGAACGGCTTCCAAAGCATTTCACGTTTTTCTCCCCCACAGGTTTTACCTGTCCGTTCAACCAGTATTATGACTTCTGTGGCCCGGCCTGCCCAGCCACTTGCGCCAACCTCAATGCACCCTCCCATTGCACAAAGCCCTGTGTGGCAGGCTGCTTCTGCCGAGAAGGCTATGTTCTTCACTCCGGGGTGTGCGTGCCCAGGAGGATGTGTGGCTGCATGCTGGATGGCCGCTATTACCAGCTGGGAGAGGAAGTGATCCTGACAGACACTTGCAGCAAGAAATGTTCCTGCAAGCAGCCTGCGCGCCACATGGAATGCCAGGAACATGCCTGCGGGCCTCTGGAAATATGCAAAGTTGTGGATGAAAAACGGGGCTGTTACCCCATGAAAAACGGCACTATGTGGATATACAGCCATTCTCGCTACATCACATATGATAATCACATTTATGGTTTCCGAGGCGCCTGCAAATACACCCTGACTACCTACTGTGGCCCCCCAGGAAAGCTTCCAGGTTTCACGATCAAAGTGCTGAATACACACAAGGCCTCCCTTGCGGTGACGACAGTGAAGCAGTTGGAGCTCGATATCTATGGGGAGCAAATTATTATAGAAGCAGGACAGGAAGACAAAATACAGGTAAGGCTTTGCTGTGTTATCCCTTGCTTCTCTGGCTCCCTTTCTGCCCCAAATGTAGGATGCAAAGGGCTCATCATACTAGAACCTGGGACATTCAAGACAAGCAAAAAGTAAGTATTCTTCACAAGGCACATAGATAAAGCTTTGGGATTTGCTTTGACAAGATAATGTGATGGCTATCAGTTTGGGTCTGCACCAAATCTTTCAGCATTCATTGGATGCCTACAAATTCTAGTGTTATGAAAGAGAGAGAAGAACTTATTTCTATCTGCCTTCTACATAATGTACAGCCGTACCTTGGTTGTGGAACTTAATCCGTTCTGGGAGTCTGTTCGACTCCTCGAACGGTTCGAAAACCAATTGGCTGCAAGAGGTTCCTGCACTCAATCGGAAGCCACAGAAGCAACATTGGACGTTCAGCTTCCGAAAAATGTTCGCAAACTGGAACACTCATTTCCAGGCTTGCGGCATTCGGGAGCCAAAATGTCCAAGTACCAAGGCATTCAACAACCAAGGTATGACTGTATACAGTTTCAGAAACTTCTGTCATGCCACCTCTAACAAGCTTTTTCTCTAAACTGGGAAGTCTCAAATACTGCAGCCTTTCCTCCGCCCCCTTGACCATTTTGGTTGCCTGCTTCTGAACCTTTCCCAACCCTTCGATATCCTTTCTGAGCTGAGGCGACCAGAACTATAAACAGAATTCCCAGTGTGGTCACACCAAAGATTCGTATAACAGTATTATGTTATGGGCACTATGATATTGACATAAAAATTCAGGCTTGAAAACGGAGACTTCTTAAAGCGCAAGTTGGAATAAAATGCAGGCTTTGTCACTTATAAACTATAAAAAGACTTCATGCCTATTCACGATTGTCCAGGGTACCACCTTCATTCAACGAAGCTAATCTGGAAGGCTCTGTTTCCCTGCCACCTAATTTAATGCGCTATTTGTATTTTTATGGTTTGATTGTACTTTTTTTTAAAGAAATTGAGAACTGCCCAGAGAATTCCTGTTATGCGGCAACCTTTTTAAATGTTGTTAATAAATAAATAACAAATGCATCGCTGGCAAGCTTAAACCCTTGGCCTTGACATAGACATGTCACAGAATGTTCGCATCCCCATTTTTGTCCTAGGTAAATGGGTACCTGATGAACCTGCCTGTCACCCTCGCATCAGGGAAACTCAACGCCTATTGCAGTGTCTCTGGCCGCTTCGTCATCGTTGAGACCGATTTTGGCCTCTCTTTCTCCTATGACTGGGTTTTCTACGTGTCTGTTTCTCTCCCCGAGACTTATTCCGGCTCCCTTTGTGGCCTCGGCGGAGATTTCAATGGGAACCGCCTTGATGACTTCAGGACCCCCAATGGTACTCTGGTAAAGAATGCTCATGCGTTTGGAAACAGCTGGATGCATGCAAGCTCTCCGTTCTACTGCAGAGCAGTTGGGGCTATGTCTGAGTGCAGCGAGACTGAAGCAGCCAGGTTCAGATCGAAGGACCGCTGCGGAATTATAAGCGATGTGAACGGGCCGTTTAAACACTGTAACAGCCCAGAAGATGTTCGGCTCCACTTGGAAAACTGTGTGAGGGACATGTGCGCAAGCACAAGCGGCCTCAAGACTCTCTGCGAGTTGCTGCAGAGTTATTCCCAGCAGTGCCAAGCTAGAGGCATCAACATTCAGCCGTGGAGAGAGATTGCTGGATGTGGTAGGCAATTTTTCAGTAGAGAAAAATATATTTAGGGTACAAGACTCTTATTTTTCTGCAGGATTGCAGGAAATGTGTGGGCTCCATTGGGCACAGAATTCAGCGTAGACTCAGCTTCCTATTCTCCTAGAGCTCATGGCTGAGAAAGGGGTGCTTTCAAAGTCTGTGGGTGATACTGAAATCACAACAGAGGAAATTGCTAAGTAACAGATCTAGGAGGTCAAAGGATGGTGTTTAGAAACGTGTATGGCTTTTGCCGTGACTAGCTGAACCATAAACAAATTAGGCAAAATAATATTAAAATGCAGGATGATTTGTGCAAAATAGGGGGAAATTATATGCTGGTTCCATCTACAAGGTCATAATAGTCACATTTTGGGGGGACAGAATTTTAATTATTTTAGCACAGAGTGCATATATGCAGCATGGCCTGATATTGTTCTTTGACACTGAAATCTGACTTGGCCACTTTCTGAAAAGCTAAAAAAGCACTGAGTATTTCTGTAACATTTGGCTGTATCAGAGAATATAATTTCTTTTTGTCTTCCCAACCCAAGCAAGCCTTTTGGGCTAAAAGCAAGCCATCAGACAGTTTTATTTAATTTTCACATTTCAGTCCCTACAGAGTATCAAAGCAGAAGGCCTGGAAAACACGTTTTCTGAGACAGGGCTTTTTAATTTTCTAATTCCAAAGTGCAACGTGCAGGCTTCATTGTGTTTGTCCTCAGAAGGACCTTCTAAAGGCAAAACAATAATGGGAAAATGTTTTACAAGCAAGGTGGGCCTTTATCTCCTGTGCCATCCAGGCATTACAAGAGACCTACACCAAAGTGTTGTATTCTCTGTCCAGGAACATTCTGGTTCAGGTCCCCAGTTCGCGTGGAACAGAAGCTCCATTTGGGGCATGCAGAGAGTGATGGGGCGAGGGAGAGACGAAAGGCGTTAGGATGGAGGAGAAACTTAAAGCAAGTGTTTTATTGCTATAAAATGAGCAGCAGATCTCTGGACTAGGAAAAGTGCTGTTTCCCCTCGCTTCCATCCTGAAATATTCCCATTTAGTGTGGTGTCGGAATGCTTTTAAATCTCCCAGTAGTCATCTGCCTACCCTTAGCCATGCCTCCAGGTGTTCTGCTCCTGGTGACTGGACTGGGATGTGTTCAAGATGGACAGCTCCTAGGGGAGCTCAAGCTGGAGCAGGTATAGAAATGTTGCTTCAACACAGATTAACGGTGGCTTGAGCCTTAAATAAGGCTGCAAATATTTTTTGCTTTTGAACTGCTGTGCAAGCATGGTACCAGCTAAGTTTGATGTTGAAGGAATTGTAGAACTCTTCGGGAGGAAGTCTAGGAAGCTTCAACAACAACAACAACAACAATTTATTTATACCCCGCCCATCTGGCTGGGTTTCCCCAGCCACTCTAGGCGGCTCCCAACAGAATTAAAAGCACAATAAAACATCAGAAATTAAAAACTCCCCTAAACAGGATTGCCTTCAGATGTCTTCTAAAAGTCAGATAGTTTTTTAATTTCTTTGACATCTGACAGGAAGGCGTTCCACAGGGCGGGTGCCACTACCGAGAAGGTCCTCTGCCTGGTTCCCTGTAACCTCACTTCTTGCAGGGAGGGAACTGCCAGACGGCCCTCAGAGCTGGACCTCAGTGTCTGGGCTGAACGATGGGGGTGGAGACGCTCCTTCAGGTATACATGGTGGGCGTTGCTTCTTTCTGCACCAGTTTATTTAAAAAATCTGGCTGTGTGCACATCACCAGCTTGAAATGCAACCAAGTTATTCCTTCTCTCAACTCGGATCATAGCTTGGGGTTTGTTTTTTTTTTTGGGGGGGGGGATACATAAAAATGCTGAAGTTCATAAATAAACAACCAGATTGATACAGGATAGACATGGGTTGTGGCTAACGTTGTGGTGGCGCTGTGGTTTAAACCACTGAGCCTCTTGGATTTGACGATCAGAAGGTCGGCGGTTCAAATCCCCGTGTCGGGGTGAGCTCCTGTTGCTCTGTCCCAGCTTCTGCCAACCTAGCAGTTCGAAAGCACACCAGTGCAAGTAGATAAATAGGTACCACTGTGGTGGGAAGCTACACAGCGTTTCTGTGCACTCTGGTTTCTGTCACGGTGTCCCATTGCACCAGAACCGGTTTAGTCATGCTGGCCACATGACCCGGAAAGCTGACTGTGGACAGACGCCAGCTCCCTCAGCCTGACAGCGAGATTAGCGCTGCAAGCCCATAGTCGCCTTTGATTGGACTTAACCCTCCAGGGGTCCTTTACCTTCCTTTACCTTTTACCTGTGTTTAGTCCACTTCCCAAACTAGCAGTGGGAGTGAACTGGATGCCTGGGAGTGTGTGCAAAGGCTCAGTCTTAGCTAGAAATAAATGAATATTCTAGGTGATGTTTTTATTTTCCAGACTTTACCTGCCCATCAAATAGCCATTATGTACTCTGTGGTTCTCCCTGCCCTGCCTCTTGTGCTGAAATGGCTATGCCCAAGAACTGCAGCTGGTCCGCATGTGTCGAAGGATGCCAGTGCAATGCAGGGTTTGTGCTGAGTGGCATCGAGTGTGTGCCTCTGGAGCAGTGTGGCTGCTTCTACAAGGGACAGTATTACCTGAAAGGGGAAACCTTCTTCCAGAAAGGAGAAAACTGCCAAAAGATGTATCAGTGTAATGGACCCACCTATGCAGTCGTTGCTGTTGAGTCCCTGTGCGGACCTGGACAATTCTGCGGTACCCAGAAGGAGGTGTATGGGTGCCATCCATTGTTGGATGGTATTTGTCAGGTTTCTGGGTTTTCCCACTATGTCACTTTTGATGGGTGGCATTATAGCTTTCAGGGCACCTCCACATACGTCTTGGCTGAACTGTGCGGGGTGTCCAAGCCTTTACCAGCTTTCAAAGTTGAACTGAAGAACGAGAAGCAGTCCAGCAGCCCATTATCTGCGGCATCAGAGGTGTTTGTGCTGGTGAACCACACCCAGGTACATCTGCAGAGCGGACACATGGGCAGAGTCAAGGTAAGAACATTCTTATGTATTCACAGCTTGGCTAATTTATCATCATCATTTTTAATTTGTATACCATCTTTCTATCTTACAATACTCAAGGTGGTTTACAAGCTGAAGAAACAAAAAAATGTACATCTTATAACAATCTAATGCAACACAAAAATGTGATAATAAAACATAACTTTAAAATAGGCAACCTACATCAAAAAAGTAACGTTCAACAATCATTAGAATAGTATTAAATAATAATAACATATAAAAGTTAAACAGAAATCCGCTCAACAGTTACAATTAATAATTTCTAAACTATAATCAGTAAAACAATGGCAAGCCACAGTACAGTCATACCTCGGGGTTAAAGACGCTTCGGGTTAAATCTTTTCAGATTGCGTCCCACGGTGACCCGGAAGTACTGGAAAGGGTTACTTCCGGGTTTTGCCGCTTGCGCATGCGCATACGCTCAAAATGATGTCACGTGCATGCGCAGAAGCGGCAAATCGCAGCACGCACAGACGCGGGTTGCGTTCTGCTCAGGTTGCGAATGGGGCTCTGGAACAGATCCTGTTCGCAACCAGAGGTACCACTGTACATAAAATAATACAATACAAATTGAGAAGCAGAGACAAGAGGGTGGTGGGGCAAGGCAGGTGGAAGGAGGCCTTGCCTGACAAAGTCTCTCCCCTCACAGTTCTTCCTCCAGGCACAGCTTCCTTATGAGGAGTCCCAGGGCCAGGGGGTGGCGCAAGGCAGGTGGAAAGAGGCCTTGCCTGATGGAGTCTCTCCATCTTATTTATTGTTAGGGTGCTTACTAAGTGCTGTTATATTCCAGTTACGACTAAAAGAATCAGAAGCAGGGTATCACATATAAGCCAGTGCAGTGTAATATTAAACAGGTCCAATGATTGAACTGTGCACATCGGCACCTAAGAAAGATGAGGGTTCGCTGACATCTCACACTCTTCTCTATTGAACCCACTAAGTCTTTGCCTACTTATCTTTTCTTTATTTTGTAAAATTTTAAACTCTTAAACCTTCCTCCTTCACCACCCTCAAAACCTGGGCAGATGGAGTGCAGCTGACATTCCACTGGTGCAGAGTAGCCTAGTGCCACAAAAGACTGTTTAGTGTCATCAGCCAGCCTTGCAAACAAATCCGTACATGTTACTATTCCACAAGAAAAAGGTATTTACAGCTCTTAGAAGACTAACACGTTTACTGTGGCATAAGCTTCCCCTTCATTGGATGTATGGCATGCATAATAGTGGGGGATTGTAAGCAGTGCCATCAGAAATGAAATGCAAAATTACAACAACTGACTGCTCAATTACAGCAGCTTTCTGTCAGTTGAATGAATTTTATTATTACAGTCACAGACCAGTTCCGGCTCACTTACAATATCAGGGAAATCATAAAACACAACAGGAATACATTGAATTGCAATTGGGTATAACAGAGACAGTACAGATACAGCCGCAGTTAAAAATATATATTTCTGTCAGGGGTTTTTTTTTGGGGGGGGACTACAATTCCCATCAGTCCCAGGAAGCATGGGAGCTGTAGTCCCATACAAAAGCTGGAGAGCACCATGTGCTCAATGGTGCATTTATTGATTGATTGATTGATTCATTGATTGAGTGAGTGTTGGCCTCTGTTTGAAATGCAGCATTTTCCTACAGCGGCTTACAACATGGGGAAAAAAAATAATGATCACGATTTTGATTTCCCGCCTGTTTACAACCATCTGCAACTCAAGGTGGTGGACATAAAGTCAGGGTAAGGTAAAGGGACCCCTGACCATTAGGTCCAGTCGTGACTGACTCTGGGGTTGCGGCGCTCATCTCGCTTTATTGGCCGAGGGAGCCGGCGTACAGCTTCTGGGTCATGTGGCCAGCATGACTAAGCCGCTTCTGGCGAACCAGAGCAGCGCACGGAAACACCGTTTACCTTCCTGCCGGAGTGGTACCTATTTATCTACTTGCACTTTGACGTGCTTTCGAACTGCTAGGTGGGCAGGAGCTGGGACTGAGCAACGGGAGCTCACCCTGTTGCAGGGATTCGAACCACCGACCTTCTGATCAGCAAGTCCTAGGCTCTGTGGTTTAACCCACAGCGCCACCTAAACAATTCAGCTCACAATGAAATCGAGCACCATTAAAACAGCAACAGATGCGTTTTAAATCGGCATCCTGAAAAAGCCCACCTTCTGCTGCAATCCTGTACATTCACCTGACAGCAGAACCCATGGAACTCAGTGTGGCTTGCTCCTAAGCGGACATTGTAGGATTGCACTGTAAATAAATAGACCTCACTTGCTCTGGCAATTAATACTTGCTGTCTCCCACATGCACTGTGAGAAATTGAAATACTGTCTAGATACAGCTACCTGTCGTTTTCTAGAGTGATGGGTTTCGGGGAAGAAAGGTTCAATGTTCTTCTTTTGCTCACACAGATTGATGGCGTGGTCACAATCCTCCCAGTGCATTTAAAAAACCAAGGAATTGTCATTTACCAGCATGGGTTTTACACAGTTTTAAAGACAGACTTTGGGCTAACAGTGAGCTATGACTTGGCCCGCAGCGTCTTTGTCACACTTTCCCCTCAATACCAAGGCCAGGTATGTGGGCTGTGTGGGAACTTCAATGGGGTTGCTGACGACGACTCGGAGACACGCAATGGATCTACAGTGAAGCATGCCTTGGACGCTGCCCTAGACTGGAGGTCAACAGACATTCCCCATGGCGCCTCTTCTGCTATATTTGGTTGGCGGGGAAGTCTCGTCCAATCTATATCTCTGTGCTGGATAATACAGAATCCTGATGGGCCCTTTGCCTCTTGTCACTTGCAAGTTGACCCAGAGCCTTATCTGACGCGTTGCATTTTTGACCTGCACATCTCCTCCGGGGACAACAACGTCATGTGCTGGTCCATTCAGACATATGCAGCGGCCTGCCAAAGAGCCAATGTAACCCTCCGGCCCTGGAGGACGGAGTTTTTCTGTGGTAGGTCCATTTTGTGAAACTCGGAACATCCCACAGTTTTGGGCTCTGTCCACATCGGCCCACTTCCATTGCAGCCCTCAAACTTCCATTTCCCAATGCATGACTCTTACAATTGGTCCTCAAGGACATGTTTGCTTAAACATATGTGCTTTCTGTTCCTGTGACTACTGCATTGTTCTTTGCATTCGAAGCAGCAGAAGACAGCATAGTGAGGTTCACTGCTCTTACTGATTCTAAGTGTAAACTTAAATTTTGGGGCAGGGAGAAGAAAATGGAAAAAATTAGTGCAGATTTGGAAGCATCCCATATGTGCCCTGCAGACTATGCTGTAGGAACAGCATTAAAAGTCAATCCTGTGAGGGCTGGCAGAACAGGTGAACATGTACCAAGGACAAAATCGTTCCCTCCATTAGCTACCTCAGGTACTGAGTGTCAACAGGACTGTAGCTATTCAGATCAAATCTGATCTGATCTGATCAGGGTTGTAGCCCAAATGAGGTCACTGTGGGACAGGCATCCCCAAACTCGGCCCTCCAGCTGTTTTGGAACTACGATTCCCATAATCCTTGACCACAGGTCCTGTGGGTGATGGGAGTTGTAGTCCCAAAACAGCTGGAGGGCCAAGTTTGGGGGTGTCTGCTGTGGGATAACCAGCCTCATACAACCAACATGCTTATGTCTAATTAATGTATGAAGAGATTAATACCATAGAGTAAGCTGTCCTGCCAGGCTTGGCTGTGTCCACTTCCCTTCACCTTGGAGGAACTAGCTTATGAAGCCCTCCACAGTCTACTTGTGAAACTCAAACCAAGCTCAAGCCACATGGCTCTCATTAGCCACTCTTGAGTTCCTATAGCAATCATTTAGGAACTTTCACCACTTTGGAACTAAACTATACTTGTTGTTTTTATTTTGTGGTTTTATATATTAATTTTATTCTGTAATCTGCCCTGAGACCTGCAAGTATAGGGTGGTATATTATTAATAATAATAATAATAATAATAATAATTACTGCCTGTGCAACCTTCTGACTGATGTATGGAAAAGCCCATGAATCTGACCATTGGAGAATTTGTAAGTAAACCACTGTCAGAATAATCACTAAGGCAATTTTTTAATTGATAAGCTCAGTCACTGTATGTAAATGCTGCATTACAATGATGGTGGCATAATAATAATACATCTTTAAGAGTCCTAAAAGAGTCCATGGGTGAGAGCAATGGCTTTTGTAAGCAGTGAAAAATATAAACAACCACTCCAGATTTTGAAAAATCCCTGTTACAGTACTGTATTTTGGTGGTGGAAAAACAAACCATTTCTCATCCTTGTTTATCCTCTTCCTTTCAGCTGCAGATTGCCCAGCAAATAGTCACTATGAGCTCTGCAAGCCGCCTTGCCAAGATCTGTGCTTGAGCTCCACATTTAAACACCTCTGCAGCCCCCTGTGCTCAGAAGGGTGCGCCTGTGATGATGGATACTTGTGGAATGGAGACAAGTGTGTTCAGCCTGAGCAATGTGGATGTAAACACAATGGGTTGTACTACAATGTGAGTAGATTTCACCCTCCCTGATGCTGTTAAAATACCGTTTAGAAATACTGGCATGCAATGCTGTGTTGTTTTTTAAAGAGAGAATTAAGATTACTCTGCTAGATTCAAAGCCAATATGAGCTTATGCAAGTGTTTAGACCATGTCCAGTCTTTACTGAGCATTTATCCTGAATTGTTTGCGGGGAGGTTCTACAACAAATAAACACTCATCCTGGGTTGCTTCCAGAGTGTATACTCGTCTTCCCATTAATCATCCATTCATCTCGTGCTTTTCAGTGCATTTCCTCATCTCTTTCCTAACTGCCAAAACTCGTTTCCTTTTTAAAGTGGATTTGTTGCACTAGGGGCGACAGAGCACTTTAATCCCCTTTAATTGTGCAAACCTAATTTGTGCTTGAATCCCTGGTGGCATCCTTAAAAGCACAAGACGCACCCTAAGGCAGCAAGCGGATGCATGCTATATTATTTTCTTGTTAGTATTATTCATTATTATTATTCATTAATTGATGGTTGTTCAAATTCAGGTATTCCCAGGGAAAGCAATGGGGCAAGAGGAAAACCACTCAGACCCATACTTAGAAATTGCAGGACAAGCTGAAGTGTGGACGAGCCCATAGTTTGGCCCTAGGCTCTCTTTATCAATAGCAGCCCTCCAAAAGGTGAGGAAGAAGGCTTTCCATCTCTGCTTCCCAACATCTTTTTGACTGGGGGAGACTGAGATTGAGCCTGGGGTGTAATGCACCCAAAGCGAGAGCTCTGTTATTTTGTCCTCCAAACAAATGCCTTTGTCTTGGAAGTCCTGATGTGTCAGGACATACTCATAGGTGCAGCTTTTCTCTGCCACTCATCCTCCCCCCTTGTGAGATTCTGGCTGCGTACTGATTGAAGACATAATAATAATAATAATAATAATAATAATAATAATAATAATAATTTATACCCGGCCCATCTGGCTCGGTTTCCCCAGCCAATCTGGGCAGCTTCCAACAAAATATTTAAAACATGATAAAACATCAGACATTAAAAAAAACTTCCCTAAACAGGGCTGCCTTCAGATGTCTTCTAAAAGTCAGAGAGTTGTTTATTTCCTTGACATCTGATGGGAGGGTGTTCCACAGGGCGGGAACCACTACCGAGAAAGCCCTCTGCCCGGTTCCTTGTAACCTCACTTCTCGCAGGGAGGGAACCCGCCAGAAGGCCCTTGGCACTGGACCTCAGTGTCTGGGCAGAATGATGGAGGTGGAGATGCTGCTTCAGGTATTCTGGGCCGAGTCCGTTTAGGGCTTTAAAGGTCAGCACCAACACTTTGAATTGTGCCCGGAAATGTACTGGGAGCCAATGTAGGTCTTTCAGGACCGGTGTTATATGGTCTCGGTGGCTGCTCCCAGTCACCAGGCTAGCTGCCGCATTCTGGATTAATTGTAGTTTCCGGGTCGCCTTCAAAGGTAGTCCCACGTAGAGCACATTGCAGTAGTCCAAGGGGGAGATAAAATACTGGCCTAGAGGAACAATCATCTGATGTGACAAAGGGGGTGATTCCTATATTCTTCCTTTCCTTTGCGCCTTGGGAAAGGGCCAGCAGAGACCACTATATATGTCTGCCCTCTAATTTCCTTTCCATTTTCTCTATGTCTGTTCTGCAAAGACAGAGCTCTTGCTGGTTTATATAGTTTCATATTTCAGAGATATGCTCATATATATATATATTTGTGATCTTTTCACAATGGCCATTCTTTCTCTCTTCATGGCTGCTTTCCCTACCAGATCGGAGACCTTCTCTGGCTCTCTGGTTGCACACAAAGGTGCAGTTGTGATGTTTCTTCCACCTTCCGCTGTGTCCCAGCAAGCTGCAGCCATGGACAGCAGTGTGCCCTCAAGGATGGCAAGCTGGGCTGCAGGCCTCGGCTGGCCACTTGCACCGTGTCCGGGGATCCACATTACTTCACTTTCGACGGGGCTGTGGCGCATTTCCAGGGCACTTGCGCCTACGAGATCTCAAAGACTGACGGCTCCTCTACTGACCTCTCCTTCCGGGTGGTGGCGGCTAACAAGAATTTCCAGAGTCCTCTGGTGTCCTTTCTTTACCGAGTGGAAATATGGCTTGTCTCCAAGCAGTTCCGTTCTCATGTTGTTTTGGAGCAAGGCAAAGATGTGCAGGTGAGCAGAACTTGTTGGACTCAAAGAAGAGGCCATGGGGTGGGAATCAAACAAAAGCAGATTGGAAAATATACATTATAGAGCAGCATAACCAGAAGCCATTCTTAAGGAACACATCCTATGAGGAAAGGTGGAAGGAACTATCTTATGTGAGAATGTTGTGGATAGTAGGAGAGGATATATTGATTAAATGTTATCCTTTCTTCACTGTGCGAAATATGAGCAAGCCAGGGCTGAACTGATATTACCCTTGCTGGTACCTTTCCTGGGAAAATCAGAGGCTCACTATGTCAGGTTCCTACTGGAAGATCAGACAAACGCTAGAACATTAGCAGTGGCAAAGTTTTTATCAGTGGTTGCAAGAACCAATGATCCTTGTCTTCTGAACAAAATGCTTGTTTAACCTGGAGGTAGGCTGTATGGATTGTGTATTGCTTTATAATGATTTGTTGGATCTCTGGACCATAATAAGGATTGATTTGATTATCCTTTCTCACTCACGCTAGTGAGTCAGTAACAGAGTACATTCCCCAGTATATAGCAGGAAGCTAGTAGGTAAACTCATTTGAATCTCTTTACTTAAGCCAGGCATGGCCCGACTTGACCCTCCAGATGTTTTGGGACTACAATTCCCATCATCCCTGACCACTGGTCCTGTTAGCTAGGGATGATGGGAGTTGTAGTCCTAAAACAGCTGGAGGGCCAAGTTTAGCCATGACCGACTTAAACAATCCAATCAGGCTTGTCCACATTGGGCTTGATCCTGGTAAGTTCCCCTTTTACTCCTCTTAAAAAGAATAAAGACACAACAGTTTTCTTTTAAAAGTAATGATAAGAAGTTTACCTACATTCAGTTCACAGTAGGTTCCCTGAAGGCAGGCCTTTAGCTTGTACTTACAGAAAAGAGAGTGGGTTCATCCCATGTAGGGATTTGAGCCCATGTGCTGCTGGCTCAGAGCCAGCAGACAGCAAAGTACATCAGTATCAGAATAAAGCAGCAAAAGAGTAAAGGGAAGATGGCCGTGTGACTGGCCCTTTTACAGGGGTCTCATGGGATCACGCCCACCTACCTGGTCACACGCAGGGGGAGGATGCTCCAGAACAGGTGTGACAGGAAGTCCTCCTGGAACTGGAGTAACATCCCCCTGTGTGTCTACTCTGGGCAAACAGGAAGTGTTGTACTTGACTGCTTATGTTACAGCCCACATCTTAGCCTGGAGAGGAGAATTCTGAAGAGGGACGTGATAATACTCTTCAAATATGTGGAGGGTTAATTCCCAGGGCCCATTTTCTTGAGATCTTTTTGAATCTGCCTATATTCTTGTGAATTTGCCTCCAAATCCTGATAGCTGCTGAGGACCATTGTGGTGCCCATCTACTTTTACCACCCAGAGGTGGGGTGGAGAAGTCTAGGAAGAAGCAGTGCCAGCAATTGCAAGCAGCGCCTGTTTCAACAGTCTGGCATGTGTCTCCCACTGTGGGAGAGGCGTCCTCCTTGGTCCTTGCTTTGTGATGTTGTAACCCACAATTTCCCCTCTGGACACTACAGTTATTTCCTGGTTCCCATTGGACTTCCGTTCCCTTTTCAGGTTGATGGGAGGCAGACCCCCTTGCCAACAGAGCTGAAGCAGTTGGCCAACATCACGCAAAGGAGGAACGTGGTGACTTTGAGAGCGCCCCCCAATCTGGAGATCCAGTACAATGGCCGCCATGCTTTGTTTGTCCGTGTAGGCCCAGAATACTGGGGAAAGCTGCACGGGATGTGTGGGAACTTCAACAGCATCCGCAGGGATGATAAGGTCTTGCCTGATGGCAAGAAAGCCAAGAACGATGCGGAGTTCGGCAACGCTTGGATGTCGGACAGAAGCCCCTCAGAGTACGTTTATACCCTTCATCTTTCCTTCGCCATTTATGGTGGTGCTGGTGCATTCACACGTGCATGGAAACAGGAGCTGATGAGGGCTTTCTTTGCTGCAGTACATGCTCTTCAACTGCCTTTGCTCCTCATGCATTCCTGCATCTGAATCAAATGCAGACTGTTATCCCCCATTTTCCAGTCTGACTGTCTGCTTTGTTTTCCTTCTCACCACTGGTCCTATGATCCTTCCATTAGGCAGCAGATGTTGGTGGGTGGGAAGTGATGGGGAAATGTTGGAGGACTGATCTGTGTGACACGTGGCCTCCCTGTGCTTCCTAAGCCTGGTCAGTTTCTGTACATGGATCAGGTGTCATATTATCCTTTGCCTCAGGCAGCAATTAGTCTTGGGCTGGTCATAAGTGTTCACTTGCTTATCTACTTAAAATGTCTGGCTTTTTAATTTTTTTTATATTTTTTCTACTCTATTCCTTGTTCGCTTAAAAAACCAAACACTATTTCATGGAAGGGTGTGGAGATGGCTTCATGACTGATAAATGGGCCAGTCGATCAGCTCTATGCAAATCTGCTACAAAACAGAAATATGTGCTTTCCCTTGCGCTTGGCATCTTTTCATGAATATGATGAATGTGTTTCCATAGCAGCCTGACCACTAAATTTATGTGCATCTGTCTCTGCTGAGAAACAGCATTCTCTGATTGGTTTCAGGGAGAATGGTCCACACCATTTCAGAATTAGTGTTCACAATGGGGACCTGCAATGGAACCTTGCAGAGCAGAGTGCTCTTGTTCAGTGTGCTAGACAGTCATGCCCTTTATTAGATACTCCATTCCCCTTTCCATTCCTCACACAACGGGCATTATGTGGTCCCTGAACATGCTTATTCCTCATTGGATTGTCTCAGTGGCGTAGCGTGGGGGGTGCAGGGGGGGGCGGCCACACAGGGCGCAACATCTGGGGGGGGCGCGCTCGCACTCGCAGCTCTCTGCCCCTACCTGGCTCCACGGGTTAGGGGGCGCAAATTACTTGCCTTGCCCCGGGTGCTGACAACCCACGCTACGCCACTGGATTGTCTGCCTTAAGAATTTTTCTACTACTGTAAATCTTGAGGTTCCACTAAGTATGCTGGTGCCTCCTTTTTGGGCCTTTGCATTTTGGCTACAGCAATATACAATATTTTTTGCTCTATAAGACTCACTTTTTCCGTCCTAAAAAGTAAGGGGAAATGTGTGTGCGTCTTATGGAGCGAATGCAGGCTGCACAGCTATCCCAGAAGCCAGAACAGCAAGAGGGATTGCTGCTTTCACTGCACAGCGATCCCTCTTGCTGTTCTGGCTTCTGAGATTCAGAATATTTTTTTTCTTGTTTTCCTCCTCCAAAAACTAGGTGCGTCTTGTGGTCTGGTGCATCTTATAGAGCAAAAAATACGGTAATTCATCACTTCCACTTGCTATTAGTATAAGTGACGGCTGTCAATCTCTTCTTTTCCTAGCCAAAAATAGGCACTTGAGGAGGATTGGGCATTACTGGATATTGGAAAGGAGCTGTTGTCCTGCTTGGAAGTTTTGGAATTGGGGAGATTTCATAAAAATCCTCTGGAGATTCACCAGAGCCCAATTTTGAATGTGGCTTAAATCTTGCCTGTTTGGGTTGATCTGTGGAGTTTTGTACAGAATTTCTGAATGCACAGTAATTCCAGTTAACCGCTACTCACACTTTCAGGTGCAGAAACGACACCGGAGGATTTGAGCCTTGCGTAAAGCAGCAAGAGTTTGAGCAAATGTGTGGGATTCTAAGAGATCGCTCTGGGCCTTTCTCAGAGTGTCACTGGCATGAGGATCCAGCTTCTTATTATGAATCCTGCATCTATGACCTCTGCCGGTTCGGACCAGGCAATCTCATGCTCTGTGGAGCCATAGAAGCTTATGAAGAGATGTGTGAGATGCTGGGAGTGACGGTGCCAAACTGGAGGAAAGAACTTAAGTGTGGTGAGCATGGTTCCTCTTGAGCTATCTATGACGTCACCACTTATAATGTGCAAATGTGCACACGTTCATTTCTATGCCTTTAGTTCAGGAGAGCTTTCCTGTTGTGAGCCACATTCCCACAGGGGTAATCTGTTTGGGGCTGCATGCCAGGACTCGGGGCAGGGGGAAAGCCATTTTTGGCAAAAGCCAAAAATGAGAAATGAAGTTTGCAGCACTGCAGGCTTGCATAGCGCTCTCTCTCTCTCTCTCTCTCTCTCTCTCTCTCACACACACACACACACACACACAGCTCCTCCATCTCTCACCATCTCTTTTTCTCCCCTATGAGGAAAGGTTACAACATTTGTGTTACACCATGCCCCTACAGCAGCCCGTTTTTTGTGGCACATCCCCATTGGCAGCCATTTTGTGACTGGTGCCCAAAGCACTTACTCAAAACTCCAAGTATGCCCGTGTGCCTGAAGAGGTTTGTGTCCTCAGTGCTGCATTATGAAGAAATGCCCTTTCTAATAGACGAGATCCTCCTACACAATATTTACTCTCACAAGTAATTTCTATTCAGCAAAGCTTCCTGCCATCTTTAGTTGAATGTTTAGGATGATATCCAGCTAGGTTTTACTCAGAGTAAATGCACTTACATTAATGGGCGTTAGTCATGTTCATTAATTTCAAAGGCTTTGCTCTGTAGAACTAACATTTATAGCATGGTATTTCTCCTGGGGGATAAGGGACAAATATTTCACTAATTACCACCCCCCAATAGAATTGCCCTAGTGTCAGATTCTGTTCCCACAGCAGGGGGAGGAGGAGCTTGAATTACTTATTTCCCCTCTTTCTTCTTCTTTTTGCAGAAAAAATATCATTAAAAAAGAAAAATATGGATCCAGATTAAATCAGTTGAAATTAGGACTTGTACACATTTACCTTTTGCCCCGTGCTTTCTAGGCACAAATATGTGTTTTCCTGGTCTGGGTGCAAGTGTTTTTGTTTTGCCTTGCTGCTTTCCCCAGAAAACATCATCTTTAACGCTGAATCGGAGCAAATGGCAATTCAGGTTTTCCACGGATAGTCATTTGCTCTGATTCAGTTGTAAAGAGCAGGTTTTCGCAGGGAATACAGCTTCGATAAGTGTGGATGAGTGCTTCTGTGGCTGCCTTTAAATGTTTGGGGAGGAAGGAAAGACCAAATCACTGCTCCCTTGCATCTATTTTGACTTAAGTTGCCAACCAGGGTTGCAAAATAACGTTGTGGTTGTCTCTTTGTTTGGTGGCAGCAAGGCAGCCATGTCCTCTTCTTTTGGGGTAACTTGTTTTCTTTTACCCTAGAAATTGCCTGCCCGGCCAACACTTACTATGATTTCTGTGGCACAGCCTGCCCTGCCAGTTGCGCCAACCTCAATGCTTCTGCCCAGTGCTCCAAGCCATGTGTGGCAGGTTGTTTCTGCAGAGAAGGCCATGTTTTGAAGTCTGGAGTCTGCGTGCCCTTGGAAGAGTGTGGCTGCAGGCTAAATGGCCACAGCTATCAGGTGGGCGAAGAGGTGATCCTGACAGACACCTGCAGCAGGAAATGCTCCTGCAAGCAGCCTGGCCATCCCATGGAATGTTGGGACCACACCTGTGGGCCTCTAGAGAGATGCAGAACCATGGACGGCATCCGGGGCTGTCACCCTGTGAAATACGGCACTATGTGGGCATTCGGTTACCTCCACTATATCACATTTGATGGAGTTGCATTTGATTATCGAGGCGTCTGCAGGTACACACTCACTAGGTACTGCGGCCCTCCCAGCCAGCTTCCTGCTTTCACCATCCATGTGACCAACGAACACATGGACTCCATCGCAGCATCTTGGACCAGACAGATAGAACTGGATGTCTATGGGGAACACATTGCTGTAGCAGGAGGGCAAGAAGGCAAAGTGCAGGTAAGGAGAACGTTTTGCAAGCTTGGAAGAACCTCACACACACCCCAGAGAACACTGCAGAACTGATTAGTAGAGAACCTGGAATCCCCAAAGAGTCGCTAGCTTGGCACACTCGTACACAAATACACTCTGCCTATACAGCCAATTTTCGCAAGTCTGCAGGATGTTTGAGGAATCATCGCCATCTAAATTTAGCAAGCGTTTCAGGTGTCTTCCTGTCCCAAGAGGGGATGGAGAGGAGGTCACAATTAAAGGAGCTGCTCGTCGACAAACATGCAGTAGAATGCTAATCATGCTCACTTAGCAGTAAGTCCCATCGCATTCCTGGTAAGTGCATTAAAAGATTGCAGCCTTAGTTGTCATGCATAGGTCAAAACTGGAAGTAACAGCAGTAGTCATGTATGTCTGCAAAAGTGGCTGCCCTGTTGCATAGTAAGATATAGATATGGCATCTCAGGGCCCCTGCAGTTGTTCCTTTCCTTGTGCCTTTGTGATGATTTGTGCTCATGATAGCATCGGGTAATTATACACCATCCTCTTTTTAATACTGTGTGTGGCTGCAGACATTTTGGGGAAGGCGTGCTTGTTGCTTTTCCAATGGTGTGTGTCCCGTAAGGCCTGCTGCAATCCTGTCGCTTTTCATACCATAAATGTCCAGGGGAGAGCGGGGGCTGTCTTTTTCTTTCATTGCACTACAGCTCAGGAATGCCCCTCCATGCCCCAAGTGGATTGGAACGGGAAGCCCAGCAATATCCAAAAGGTTGCCAATTCTTGTAGAATGGCAGCTTAAGGAATGAATATGAAAATAGTAAACTAAAATGAGCAATGATTTCAGTATATTAAAAATCACACCAGTCAATTATCAATTAATCAGTTATGAAATTGATTATGAAAAGTATTTTTTCTTTTCATTTTTTTCTTGTTTCTTTCTTTTATCTTTTGTCTTTCTTCTTTTCTAGTTTGCATTCTGGAAAATTGTGTAGATAAAATGTTTTTATGTATGTTTATGTATTGTTTCTATTTCTTTTTTTCTTTCTTTTTTGTAACATTTAATAAAATTTAATTTTTTTAAAAAAACAAAACACACCAGTCAGCATGGGGGTAATTGTGGTCAGCACGGGGGTCTCAGTAGTTCCTAAAGGTTTCTGGCATCACCCTTTTGTCCTAGGTAAATGGCCTCCTGGCAAACCTGCCCCTCACTCTTGCATCAGGGAAGATCAACGCCTACTTCAGAGGCTCATCCATCATCATCCAGACTGATTTTGGCCTCTCCATTTCCTACGACTGGTCTTACTATGTGTCCGTTTCTGTTCCTGAAACCTATTCCGAGTCCCTCTGCGGCCTTGGTGGAGATTTCAATGGAAACCACCACGATGACTTCAGGACCCCCAACGGCTCCTTGGCTCAGGATGCCCTTGCTTTTGGCAACAGCTGGAAGGATGCCAACTCCCCTTTCCACTGCACAGTGGTTGGGCTCCCGTCCTCATGCACCGAAACCGAGGCAGCCCAGTTCAGATCTCAAGGCCACTGTGGAATGATTAGCGATCAAAACGGACCCTTTAAAGAATGCCACGACCTTGCAGATCCTCAAATACACATGGAGACCTGTGTGAAAGACCTGTGTGCCACTCAGGGCAGCCATAAGACCCTGTGCATGGCCCTTCAGAGTTATGCTTGGCAGTGTCAGGTTCAGGGCATCATCATTCAGCCATGGAGGAAGATTGTCGGCTGTGGTAAGTGAGACTCCAAAAAGTAGAATTTTAAGGTGTCTTGTTGCATTGTCAACAGCTGGAATGGAAGTTTCCTCCCATTTTTCTTATTTTACCTATCTCTCCTTCATGGAGAATATTCCCTAAATGGGGAAGAGACATAGCTCAGTGATAGAACATCCGCTTTGCATGCACATCTCCAGTTTCAATCTCCAGCATCTCCAGGTCCTCTGTCTGAAAATCCTGGACAGCTGCTGCCATTTGGTGTCAACAATACTGAGATTAGATGGACCAGTGGTCTGACTCAGTATAAGTCAGCTTCATATGTTCTTATATATGTTTCTTTAACATTGCTGGAAGCGTTGCACTGTGTGTGTCTTTCAGAGCTGACCTGCCCATCGAATAGCAACTACGTGCTCTGTGGAACTGCTTCCCCCGCTTCTTGCTCACAACCACCTGTGCCCAGGAGTTTCTCACCTGCCTGTTTAGAAGAATGCCAGTGTGAACCTGGCTCAGTGCTGAGTGGCACCACCTGTGTGCTTCGGGAGCAGTGCGGCTGCAGCTACAAGGGCCGATACTACCTAAAAGGGGAAACATTCTTCCAGGAAGGAGAGAATTGCCATAAGATATACCGGTGTGACGAATCAGTCCATGCCGTTGGTGGCGCAGAGTCCTTGTGCGGCCCCGGGCAGTTATGCGGTAGCCAGAATGGGGTGTACGGGTGTCACCCATTGTCAGACGGTACCTGTCGGGTTTCCGGGTTTCTCAGCTACATCACCTTTGACGGGCGGCATTATGGTTTCCATGGTGCCTCCACGACTGTCGTGGTTGAACTGTGTGGGGCACCGGAGTCCTTGCCATCTTTTAGAGTTGAGGTGAAGACCGAGAATGTGGCTGGAAATCCTTTACCTGTGATATCAGAAGTGCTTGTGCTAGCGAACAATACACAGATATCTCTGCAGAGAGAACACCAGGGTACTGTCAAGGTAAGAACATAGGAGCCATGTTGGAGGTTAAACAGGAAAGGCCTGGGCCTGTGTTGAGCTTCTGCCTAAACTCATCCCCAGACTCGGCAGAGCAGAAAATTCAGTGTGCAAAGGAGGAGAAAGGAGAGATGCAGGTCCACCTTTGGGCTCAGCTAAGAAGCCAGTGTGGTGTTGTGGTTAAGAGCTGTAGACTCGTAATCTGGTGAACTGGGTTCGCTTCCCCGCTCCTCCACATGCAGCTGCTGGGTGACCTTGGGCTAGTCACACTTCTCTGAAGTCTCTCAGCCTCACTCACCTCACAGAGTGTTTGTTGTGGGGGAGGAAGGGAAAGGAGATTGTTAGCCGCTTTGAGACTCCTTCGGGTAGTGATAAAGCGGGGTATCAAATCCAAAACTCTTCCTTCCCCAGCCCTTTCGGCTGTCATAGGGCTGCAGCTTTGGCATCAGGTTGTAGCAGAGGAGGAATCAGAAAGGACACGGGAGGACCACTCCATCAGCCTGGAGACCAGCAACTTTTGACAACACTAGACATACACACAACATACAGACATGCTGGGCACACAAATTACTCACAGCCTCCCCTTATCAGTGGGCAGTGTTCTAATAAGAGAAGGGGGAAGAAGAAGAGGAGGGATGTGATTGGCCCTTCCATGCTTCTCAAATGATCAGTCTGATGACCAAGGATGGAATGGTTTGCGTCCTCATCAGGATGCAGGGCTGAGTTGGGCAGATAGATTTAGGCACCTCCCACCCCTAGACCATGTCTTCTCTAAGTGTCCCTTTTTTTTGCTACCACCATAAAAATTGGGGTGGGCAGAGACAAATGTCCATGGGGAGGCAGACAGGTTAGGCCTGGATTAGGGCAGCGGTTAGATGGTCTTAATGTAAGGCAAGTCAGTGTCATTATTTCCCATACAGAAGATGGGATGACTGAAGCTGAGAGAGAGAGAGTGGCTTCCCTCATGAGTTTGTGACAGAGGGGAGATTCAAACCAAAAACTTTGTCATTTGTTGCTCAGCTTCTTTGCCGTTGTGAACCCCAACCGTTGTTCCTCTGCTGCAAAATGCTCAGATTATCCTGATGGAGCTTCCCACATATGCTATGTGCTGTGCCAAGAGGAGGGCCGTGGCTTGTTGCAAGGGACATGGTTGCAGCCGCAGTAGAAAGGTGGTGGGGAAAGGGTTAAGCACATGCCCACATTGGATGTATCTCTGCTGCAAAATCCCTTCTCCATGGCCACTTTGCAGCAAAGATGTGGTAACTGAGAATCCCTGACCCATCTTCACTCTGCGTAGTTTGGCCATTGAGGTTTCTGTTGTCAGGACTAACCTGCTTTTGTCGTTTCCTTTCATACAGATTGACGGCGTGGCTTTAAACCTCCCAGTGCAAATCCAGGCCCTGGGAACTGCCATTTATCAGCATGGCTTTTACACAACTTTAAAAGCAGACTTTGGGCTAACGGTGATCTATGACCTGGACCACGGTCTCCTTGTCACACTTCCCCCTCAATACCAAGGCCAGACCTGCGGGCTGTGTGGGAACTTTAATGGAGCTGTTGGTGATGATTTCCCATTGAAAAATAGCTCCACAACAAAAAACACGTTGCATTTTGGTGACCTCGATCGATCTCGTGCCTCTAACCCCATGTCTGATCTCATCTGGTCAAAATCTATGTGCTGGATCATCCAGAATCCAGATGGGCCGTTTGCTTCTTGCCACTCCCAAGTTGATCCAGAGCCTTATCTGACCGACTGCATCTTTTACTTTCATCTCTCTGTCAGGGACAACAACACCTTGTGCCGGTCCATTCAGACATACGTAATGGCTTGCCAGAGAGCCAATGTTACCATCTCACCTTGGAGGAGAGAGACTTTCTGTGGTAGGCCAAATCCACTTCTGCCTCACAGTTTGGACTGCAGTATAGCTAATGTGATGTATTGTTTTTCTGTAACAAATTAGGCTTAAAACCAAGAGTTCTCAAATTGTGATCCGTGGACTACTGGTGTTCTACTGGGAGCCAGTGTGGTATAGTGGTTAAGAGCGGTAGTCTCGCAATCTGGTGAACCAGGTTCACTTCCCCACTCCTCCACATGCAGCTGCTGGGTGACCTTGGGCTAGTCACACTTCTTTGAAGTCTCTCAGCCCCACTCACCTCACAAAGTGTTTGTTGTGGGGGAGAAAGGGAGAGGAGAATGTTAGCTGCTTTGAGACTCCTTCGGGTAGTGATAAAGCGGGATATCAAATCCAAACTCTTCTTCTACAAGAAGAGTGATTCAGGTGGTCTGCAGAAAGACTGAAAAACAGTCAATAGTATCTATACTTATGCTTGCACTTTATTTGTCGTCCCCCCCCCCATGACAATGGAGATTGAGACTGTTTTGACCAGGGCAAGAATATCAAACAGGCTAACAAGCACTTGGTCTGGGGCCTGTGATCTTCATAATATGGATAAGCACCCCCCTTTTTTTCTGTCCTCCATCCAAACAAGCACGAGGTATTATGAAAGCATGAGGACGCTTTAGCTGAGATTTCTGTATTGCAGGACATTGGACTAGAAGACCCTTGGGTCACTTCCAACTCTAAGTTCAAGGACACATGCCAGCCAGGCAAGAACACTCAAGGAGAGGGTGCACAACAGGGCTGGTGAGGGGTGAGGCCTGGAGAGAGTTCCAAGGGGGAGAGAGAGAGAGAGAGAGAGAGAGAGAGAGAGACCTAAAAGGCTGAATTTGGCCCCTTGTGTCTGAGGTTTCCCACCTGTGCTTTGGGACTTCCCCTCCCTTCATGGCACTCTGCTTCTCATTCCATGTCTCTTCGTTCCTGAGCAGGCATTGACTGCCCTGCCAATAGCCACTACGAGCTCTGTGGGCCTCCCTGCCAGGACGTCTGCTTCAGTGCTTGGATTAAGCCCCACTGCCTTCCTATGTGCATTGAAGGGTGTTTCTGTGACAGAGGGTACCTGCGCAGTGGAGACAGATGCATCCCAGAAGAGCAGTGTGGCTGTGTGCACAAAGGGCTGCATTATAAGGTGAGGGTCCACATCCCTGCTTTCCAGTGTATGTAGCCATAATGTAGCCACAACGGGCTTTTTCTCTCACTCCTGCCCTTAATCCTCAAATGGCTCCCATTTACCTACAGTGCTCTGGAGTGATGCTTATATCTGGGACACTGTAGTAAATTAAAATGGCAGTTGCCTGGTACTGATTGGAGGAGAACTGGTGCTTCATTAGTCCACTGGGAGGACACCAGCATAAACAAAGAAGCCCACCAGAGGGCATTTTGCTGAGTGCCCTCTCACTGAGTAGACACAGCTTTACAGTGGCCATATGTTGTTAAGTACAATTGTATAATTGACACTGAAATTGAGAGTGCCTGTGTGTGTTGCTGAAAAGTTTCAACATGGGGAAATTCCACTGGAGTGTACTAAGTTCTCTGGGCTCCTTCATGGGTTGATAATTAATTGTTGTTGTTCTCTGCTAGCTAACGTGGGAGTGTTTAACTTTAGATCACATGGGAGGCTATTGAATTGCAAATCTGCCATCTTGGAAGGGTTGTGGCTCTAGTCCTTTGTTCCCAGGATTAGTGGGAATAGAAATGTGTGAAAGAGTCTCCTGAAGGGAAAGAAAACAGCTCCAAGCAAAATGGAGGCTTTAGGAAAGAGAGTGACCTCTGCTTCCAGGTCTGTTTGGAATTCTAAGATGCTGAACCTGTGCTGGACAGCACAAGATACAGTGGTATCTTGGTTCTCAAACTTAATCCGTTCCGGAAGTCCATTCCAAAACCAAAGTGTTCCAAGACCAAGGCGCGCTTTCCCATAGAAAGTAATGCAAAACAAATTATTCCGTTCCAGACTTTTAAAAACAATCCCTAAAACAGCAATTTAACATGAATTTTACTATCTAACGAGACCATTGATCCATAAAATGAAAGCAATAATCAATGTACTGTATTATAAAATAAATAAGATAGTATTGTAGATGTTTTAAAAAAAAATTCTTACCTGCACCGATGATAGTCATTGTTTGGATGGGGGGCTTTTATCCATTTCCGCAGTCACACAGTCAATCAATCAGTAGCTGAACTGTGTTCCACACAGTCACCAAAAACCCCCCCGAAAAAGCCTCAAAAACAAAAACGCAAAATAAATAGCAAAATCAAAAGCGCTGAACCTAATCCATTCCGGAAGGCCGTTTGACTTCCGCAATGTTCGAAAACCAAGGTGCATCTTCTGATTGGTGCAGGAGCCCCGGAAACAATTGCCGACAGCCACATCGGACATTAGCCCTCCGAAAAATGTTTGAAAACCGGAACAGTTACTTCGGGGTTTTTGGCGTTTGGGAACCAAGGAGTTTGAGTACCAAGGTACCACTGCATTGTACGGAACAACTTGGGTGTGTCTTTGATGTTTATGTTCTGTTTTGAAGAAAGTTCTGCAATTAAAGTTTTGAATCAAACAAAGGGTCCAGGCAATGTTTATTCCAAAAGGAATCAGGGTTGTTGTTGTTGTTTTGCATCCAGTCACTTCAAGTTGTGCACCATTAATATCTGTGGCAAGTCTTTCAGCTCACAACCTCCCATTATGCTTGCAGATTGGGGAACGGGTCTGGCTCTCTGGTTGCCGTGAGAGGTGCATCTGTGACGGCCCTTCCGGCTTCCGCTGTGTCCCAGCCAGCTGTAACCTCGGCCAGAAGTGTGCTGCGAAGAATGGGAAGCTAGGCTGCCATACACGGTGGGGAACCTGCACAGTCACTGGGGACCCTCACTACTTCACCTTTGATGGGGCTGTGGCGCATTTCCAGGGCACTTGCGCCTATGAGATCTCCAGGACTTGCCACCCCTCCCCTCCTTTCTTCTACCGGGTTGTAGCAGAGAACAGGCACCAGGGAAACCCTCAGGTGTCTTTTGTGAGCCGAGTGGAAGTCTGGCTGAAGAATGAAACGCTGAGCTTTCATATAATCCTAGGGAGTGGCCAAACAGCAGAGGTACGTGAAAGATTTCTGGATATGGTGCATAGTTATTTTGGGGGGTGTGTGTGGAAATGCTTTTATCCTGCTTTATATTCTCCACAGGCTCTCAAAACTGCTTACAGAAAATGCAATAAAAATGATGTCAGAGTTTGGTATCGGGAACAGCAATTGCCCAATGGTGACAGAATTACTTAGGTGGCATTTCCTGCCCATCTCACCCTTGTTGGTTTTCCACCACCTCCTTAAGGCTACTTTATGCTGGCACCATTTTATTTATCTGCTTAGTCAGATTTGGTATTTTATTTAGTGCCCCGCTTGAATTTCGTTTTAGCTGCCTTCGCAATTGCATTTTTTGTCGGTGTTTTTTTAATTAAAAAATTCAAATTGTTACGGGTTAGTTTTCCTTTTAGACACACTCCTATTGTCAGCTACCTTAGGCATTTATCAGATGGAAAGCTGGGAAAGAAGCTTGCTTTAATAAATCACAATTACAATGAGGTCCTGGGAAACAATTTCAGTGCAATTGAACTGAATGACGAAATCTGTACTTTGTTGTGAAATGATCACAGGTGGCCACAAACCTTTCTCTGACACATCTGATATGCTTACTGCCTCAATCACAGGTCAACCAGGAAAGAGTGCAACTACCCCACAGCCTGGGAGCCCTGGGTGCTATTTTCAAGGTCAAAAACATTGTGACAATAAAAACAGTAGCCAGTGTGGAGATCCAGTACAACGGCCGCCACACACTCTTTATCCATGCGGGACCAGAATATCAGGGGAAACTCTGTGGAATGTGTGGGAATTTCAACGGCATCCGTAGAGACGATAAAGTCTTGCCTGATGGAAGCAGAGCCCAGAATGACTTGCAGTTTGGGAATGCCTGGAAAACAGATACAAGCCCAATGGGGTAAGAGGGGTCGATATTGCAGCGTTTAACACTTTGTTGGTCTTTTTGTGGCATCATCTTCACAGTCCGATGAATGCTGATGCCTTGGTGTGAGGGTAGCAATGTACAGAATATCTATTCCCATAAATTTTCTCTCTCTGCTCAGCAAGGTGTGGTGTAGCGTAAGGCACAGGTAATAAGAGTGTTCAGGTGAGCTGCACTGAGCCCGTCCTCAGCATTCAGCTCAAGCCACCAAATGGTTCAGCACAGCCAGCATTTCTCAAGTCAGTTTCAAAATAAGCATGTAGCAGAGATGGCTTATTTAGCTTGAGTCTGTTTTAAACCATGACCTCTGAACAAGATTAGTAGGAAGTAAAATGGATGCTAACAAAGCTTTTCTCTTGGTCACACTGAAGTAAAGATGTCTGAGAATTCCAGTGAAAATGGAAACATAAGTGGAAATGGCCAGTGTTTGCTTAGTTGTCCGAAGTGCAAAATGAAAATATACCTGGCGAATATGATTAATGATGATGATGATTTATTTATACTCCACCCATCCGGCTGGGTTTCCCCAGCCACTCTGGGCGGCTTCCAACAAAGATTAAAAATACATTAAAACTGCTGCTTTAAATCAAGTAATACGTAATTGATGACATTACCCCTATTTGCCTTGTATTCCCTTTGCACTGAAATGAACAGAACAACATAATGTATGTTGGGGCAATATAGAGAGAGAGAGAGAGAGAGAGAGAGAGAGAGAGAGAGAGAGGATTCCTGGTTGTCAAGATCCAAATTTGGGGCAAGTACTTTTTGGGGAGAAGATTCCAGCAGGGATTTAAAATCACAAAATATCCAGCAAGATAAAGCATAGAAAATGCGCATTTTAAAATACCCTTCAAAGTTTTCTACTTCCTCCAGCATAGGAAAGGACCATGTGTTTGGTAAGTTAAAAATGGTTTATTGTACTTACAAACTCTTCAAAGGTCAGATTCATGTGCTTTTCTATAGAGCATTCAGAAAAAGTTTCATAGGCAGTAAAACTTAGCTTAGTTCCAAAATGGTGAAAGTTCCTAAATTATTGGTATAGGAACTCAAGAGCGGCTAGTGAGAGCCATGTGGCTAAACTGGAGCAACTAGCTCAAACCTCTTCACACACTGAGCTGGATTACCAGTTTCCTCCCGAAGGGAAGTGACATAGCGAAGCCTGGCAGGACAGCTTCCTCTATGGTGTTAACCCCTTCGTGCATTAATTAAACTTAACCAGCCTCATAGAACCAACATGCTTGTCCCACAATGCCAATGTAATTTACATGGAAGCCCAAGCTTTGCCTAGGCTCTTTCCTTTTCATGCCCAACTCTGGCCGGTGACCACAGAAAGGCGTCTGCTGGGACTAAAACCCCCTGTCTTTACTTTTCAGGTGCTTGGATGACACTGTAGCACTAGAGCCATGCAAAGATCCCCAGGAATATGAAGAGGTCTGTGGGGTCCTGATTAACAAATCAGGACCATTTGCTGAGTGCCACTGGCATGTGGACCCTTCTCCTTTTTATTTGTCCTGCTTATATGACTTGTGCCACTATGGGGTGGCTAATGGCATGTTGTGTGTGGCCCTCAGCGCTTACGAGGAACGGTGTCTTCTTAATGGGGTTCACGTCAGTGGCTGGAGAACAGCTGCCCGGTGCCGTGAGTTCCAATTTCATCAGCTGCCTGTCCATCTTGGGGGCAACTGGGGTTAAAGGGGCTTCCAGATTCTCACTCTTTTCGTGTGGGATTCAGTTACAAACTGGCAAATTCAGGTTGTGAAATTATAGCAGATCGGGAGGTCTTATCCACTTTCCAAATGTTCAGACTTTTTGCAACAAGAAAAGTGACGGGAAAATACACTGGAAAGTCTGGGGTAATACTAGCTTTGATGCAACTTCATCTAACCTCCCCACAAACAAATCAGAATGAATGCTGAATAAATAAATGGTGGACATTATCTGATCTCCCTTCAAACAAAACAAGACCAATACTTCTTAGAGAGGTTTTTTGGAAGCACCCCAAGTCTATTAACTAGAAAGGGATGGAAAACCAACCTTGGTGACTACACAGGGTAATTAAATGTAGGTAAAAACCAATCCTCGGAAAATCTGCTGTGCATATGCGAGGCTCATTATTTCTTCTGTTAGTGCTGCTGTTGACAGACTTCCTCTACTTTCTGTGTCCCTGAGCTCTCAGACTTCCTCAGAGCAGGGGTTGACTAACCATTGTCAGATGGTGGGCTGCATTCTAATCCTTGGGCCCTATTGAGATTTCCCCTACAGCCAAAGTGGCTTTCACTTTCACCCCAGAGGCTGGAATGTTTATCAGCATTCTGTGACTTGCCTTGCCTTTCTCCCTCAGCAATCACAAAAGATAATGAACATCATGATATTTAAATCACTGGCCAGAGGTGGGTGGGTGTGTAACTCTGTGTGTGTGGTATCTTTAAAAACTGTAAACATTTGAAATGTTCCTCTCTGTAGCTTGCGTAGTTTCAACACCCCCATCCCCCTGCTTCTTCAGTACACACAAGCTCACAGGAATAGAGGGGGTTCCTCAGGATGTGGAACCATCAGGAGAAGACTTTGGAGCAAAGGTAGAAGGCCCCATTCAGCAGTATAAGCAAGTCCCCCCCCCACATCCACCCAGGTCTGGCTTACCACTTTGTGAAGCAAGGAAAGTAATGCATACTATGATCCAAAAAGACCCCTCTGTGTGAAGTTCAGAGTCTGCAATTACCTAAAACCACCACTGATTCCTGCAGCTAAACCTGTTTCTCTTTCTCTAGCCGCAACGGACCCCTGCCTTGACTTGGCATGCGAAGAGAATGAATGGTGCGGCGAGCAGAACGGGAAATGGGGCTGCTTCTGCCACAGAGATTATAGCCCTGCCAAACGGGCTTCTTATGGTAAACAAGAACCACAGCTTTTCCCTTTTTGTCTTTGCATTTGCCTTTGAAACACGAAGTGTTACATAATGTCAGTATTCACACATACCCCTGGTGCAGTGCCGTCAAACCGAGGGCCGCATGTGTGGGTCCCGACCATCCCAGAGTGGCCCTCATCTTGCCACACGCTGGGGGGCTCCAGCTCCAGTAACAATATCATCAGCTGTCACCTGCAACAACCCAGCTGTCAGAAACAGGGCCAGGCTGCCAAATTCCTTTTCTCCCTCCAGATTACCGGTTGACATGCGGTGGCAGCAACAGTGCCGTGTCTCTCTGCCGCTGCCTACTCTTCACCGATGGATTCCCCGCCAAGGAACTGCATTTGGCAGATCCCACCTGCGCTGGCACGCTTGTCGGAGACAGGCTCCTCTTCTACTTTGATACTGTGCAGAAGACCTGTGGGACCACAATGGAGGTGGGGAGAATTATCCAGCATAAAGCCTCCCCTCTCCCCACCCCACTCATGAAGAAACACTTGACAGATATCCCAACATGCAGCTGCTGCTCCAGTAAAAAAAAGCCTCTCTGCTGAAATAGGTAGCAGCAAGGTTATGCAAAATATCTCTGCCTGACTGAGATGCTAGAAAGCTGCTTGCCATCAGAGTAGACAGATGAGATGAGCAAATAATATAAGCAGAAGTCAGTTTCCTATGTCTATACCAGGGATGTCCAACCAGTAGATTGTGATCTACCGGTAGATCCCTGGCTGATCCTAGTAGATCGCAGGATGCTTATTGTGTACAAAAAGTTATGGGGGGAAAGCTAAAAAAACTCCTTCCCCCAAAAGATTACAACTCTGGGCACTTCACTCCTAAAAAAAGCAATCCACCCACCCCACGCACGCTCCTCCTCCCTCCAATGACAATGGGTAGATCACTGCCAGTTTTTTTATACTTGGAGTAGATCACAGTCTCTTTGGAGTTGGAAATGCCTGGTCTATACCATTTCCTGCTATCTGATCCTTTTAACCAGAGATGTTGTGACCCTGGTACTTTCTGTGTGTACCAGTGAGCTATGACCCCACCTCAAATAGACCTCCTAAAAAGCAAGATTCTGGCAGGTAGCGCTGTGGTCTAAACCACAGAGCCTAGGACCTGCCGATCGGAAGGTCGGCGGTTCAAATCCCCGCGACGGGGTGAGCTACCGTGGCTCGGTCCCTGCTCCTGCCAACCCAGCAGCTTGAAAGCACGTCAAAGTGCAAGTAGATAAATGGTGGGAAAGTAAATGGCGTTTTTGTGTGCTGCTCTGGTTTTGCCAGAAGCGGTTTAGTCATGCTGGCCACATGACCCAGAAAAACTGTCTGCGGACAAACGTCAGCTCCCTCGGCCAGTAAAGCGAGATGAGCGCCACAACCCCAGAGTCGTTCGCGACTGGACTTAACTGTCAGGGGTCCTTTACCTGTACCTTTAGCCTCTGATACCTAACTGGCTTACACTAAGGGAGATGTCGGTACTATTTCCAGACTCCTGGAAACTGGGAGGAGGGACACTGCCAAAGCAAGAAAGGAAAATCTGCCCTCTGTGTCCGCTTACGTTGCAGTGGGCCTCACAAAGTTCTTTCCTTGCATTATTTCCAGATCAACACAACCCATGCCATCTACTTCAACGCAGTGGAGGGCCGTGTGGAGAACACCTACGGAGGGGTGATCAGCAGGGATCGCTTTCTCTTCCTGCGCTTCTCCTGTGCCTACCCGCTGAACATCAACCTTTCACTGACATCTGCCATCCATCCCATCCAGGAGTGAGTTCAGCCGGAAGGACAGGACAGAGAAGCCAAATGCCCCAATGCAGGATTTCACATCCTCGTAATATTTGCATCTTTCCAGCATTGGCTCTAGCAGCACCTGGTCCCCTGCAGAGAGCTGTCTTTGTATCCTCTCGCTGTGCTCCTCCCCAACTTTCCTTGCATGCATCTTTCAATTGTGGAAGCCTTTCTGTGCCTCTTCCACTCACATGGCTTCAAATACTCCAGGCCTTTTACCTAGGTTCACCACGTTGGCTCCAAAGTTCTTTGTTCCTTTGCTCTTATTCGCTTCAAATTTAGGTACCTTTGCATTCCTCTAAGAATCTACCTTCTGGACCAGACTGAAGGCCTCCCAGTTCAGTACTCTTGACTCCAACAAAGGCCAAGCAGAGTTTTCCCACCCTCAAAACATTGCTCTTGTGTCCTTCCAACCTCCTGCTTTCCAAATCTTTCTTCTTCCTCACTCTTCATCTCCCATTAGTCCTCTTCCTGATCCCAAGAAAGTGCAGTGCTGCCCTGTTGCTTGCTCCAAAACAAAAGCATTGTAACTCTCTTATGTTTTACCCCTTTGATAGCATCATTAACACCACTCTCACCTCCGGCCAAGGGAGCTACCAGACCACCATGACTTTGTACCAAGACCCTCAGTACAGCCGGCCCTTCACCCAGAGCCCTATCCTACTCACTGTCAATCACAGGGCCTATGTGGGCATCAGCATCTCGGGGGCAGACGCCACCCACTTTGTACTGACCTTGTCGTCGTGCTGGGCCACACCGGACAAAGACGCCTCCTCCAGCATTCGGTGGGATATCATCACCAACCAGTAAGCTGCTTGCCTCTTCCTGTTTGCGTGGTCTGCTCGAAAGGGAACAGGGCTTACTAACTGGAGGAGACAGGCAGGGAGAAGAGAGAATTCATAGCACTGGAGAACAGGGGTTGAGAATCGGGAGGATACTTGGGTTTGGCTGTTGATGCCTTTTAGACATCGACCATGGACTGAGGGCCAGGACACCTGGCATGAAAGGGCAGCTAGAGAAGAAAGCCACAGCATTCAAGCTGAATACAGTGGTACCTCGGGTTAAGAACTTAATTCGTTCTGGAGGTCCGTTCTTAACCTGAAACTGTTCTTAACCTGAGGTACCATTTTAGCTAATGGGGCCTCCCGCTGCCGCCGCGCTGCCGCCACACGATTTCTGTTCTCATCCTGAAGCAAAGTTCTTAACCCGAGGTATTATTTCTGGGTTAGCAGAGTCTGTAACCTGAAGCGTCTGTAACCCGAGGTACCACTGTATGTATTAAGAAGGGGAGAAGTAGAGGGACTGCAGTGTAGCAAGACAAGAACCTAACTTGAATATTCTCTTAACTGAGGATCAAACTAGAAATGATGTTATTCATATATTTAGTCCCTGCGTGACTGTTTTTCTTAAAACAAAACATATAAGTAGTTGCTATAGAGACCTCAAACTGGGTGGATAACATTCTGGGCAGGGAGGGGGGAGTCTTAAACTCTTGCCCCCACTATGATCCTGATCAGAAACTGATCCCTCCACACTTACACACCCAGAGCCAGGCAGAGGCCCGGGCCAGATGGATAATGTGTCCTCCCCTTTTTTTTTACCCTGGGGATAACTGAAGTCTTATAAATAAGAAAGTATATAAATTTTTTTCACAAAAGTTATGCTGACAAATAATTTTATTTCAAGGCTTGAACCATGTCTGCATATAAAGACAAAATGGAAAATATAGATAAATATGCTGACTGAGGCCCCCTTTGGAATCGGGGGCCCAGGCCAAGTGGCCCATATGGCCAAGTGGCCCCCATCTGGGCCTGTACATACCTGATGTCTTCAATGCAGAGAGCTCCCTTCCCACTGCAAAGGGGAGCTGCAGTTCCAATTCAGACCAAAGGGTTAAAGACTCTCTCCTCCCTATCCTTGTTGTGGTCTTGATCCCTTTCTGGCTCCTGCGTATAAAATTTATGGGGAAGGAAAACACAGCCCAAGGGATGAAAGGGATGAAAATGCTCCTTATTAAGGCCTGGGTCTCAGAAAATGTGGTGCAACATCTCCAGCGCCCCTCTGCCCATCATTCCTTGATGTTGCAGAGATCAAGTATGAAAACGCCTCTACGTGAACCAGCCTAATGTGATTTCTCAGCCGATGATCAGTCAACACTCAGCGACTCCTAGCTGAATGTCAGGACTGTCTTAATGGAAGATCGTTGTGATGACCCTGGATGGACATGAAAGTCTTGTGAAGGGTCTTTTGCACCTGCGAGTTGTCGTTTGATGCTTCAGTCAAACGAGTGATAAACTTGCACAGGTGAACAAGCCCTTGGTCTCACCAGGCCCCTGCAACTCTCAATCCTTTGCCCTATGCCACCTTCTCATTGCAGGTGTCCAAACCCTCGAGACGGCACCGTGGTAGTTGAAAAGGATGCCGTGTCCCTCACTGGCCATTTCTCCTTCAATATCTTTGCCTTCATCCCAGATTTGGAGGAAGTGTACCTGCACTGTCGTATCCGCCTCTGCAGCTTCCTTACCGCCAGGTGCACCGTGGTGAGTTAGGAAAAGTAGAAGGAGGAGGCTGGCTCCAGGTTTGAGCGGGGCCATAGTGGGCCCCTCCCATGCCAATGGGTTGCCCCGGTGTTGTGGACTTACCTGGCGACGGAAGCAGAGTTCTTTCCACTCCTATAGAACCATTTAAGTTTCCCACAATGCCCCACCATAGTGTCATTCTGGGGTATTGTGGGAAATCAAAACGGTGGTCAGTTTCTCATAGTTCCCTGGAAAACATCAAGGGCATTTAAATGGCAGCTGAGTGATTCCAGTGCTCAGAATGGAGTGCCGGTTAAAGGAGTACCTAGGGCAGGCATCAGCAGTGGTTACCTGTTGGGAGTCTGGGGCCTTGGCAACTGCCCAAGGATGTTGCATGCTGACACAGGGTCAAGGTTTCTGAGTCAGATCAGGCCAAGGCAACAGCTTTGAGAGCTGGTGGTAGCCCTCATAGCCTCATCTGGAGAGAGATTAAGATCAGAGAGGTGGAAAATTACCCAGGCGATCTTGACTTGTGTTAAAATCTAGATATGATCCTGATATACCTGCATCAACCTGGACAGAAAACAGACTGGCAATGGGCTGGGAAATTAGCCTGACTGTCATCTTGGTACCCACGGGAGTGCTGAGACTACAGAGCTAACCTATGCAGAATCCTCTAGACAAAACAATAAGGTCCCATTTCCTCCCCTTCTTTCAGAATTGTGACAAGCCAGGCCCTGCGATTGCTGGAAGGAAGCCTCCATCAGGCATTGTCTCAGCCGGCCCTTTCTTGAGATATGATGATTCTCTTGATCAAGGCAAGACACTTTCCTCTCAGCACAAAGACTCAGGCATCTGGGCCCTGCCTGGCATTGCCTCTTCTCACAAACAACGCTAAAAGAATCTTTCTGCCTCTCCCGTGACTGTGGGGCAGGGCGGGGGTGCTGCTGTTTTCTTACCCAAGTTGTAAATTAGATTAATTCAGCAAGGAACATGAGGAACAGAAAGTTTGATTTAATACATTGAATTAATAATAATAATTCTGGGGTGTTTGTGTGCCAAAGAAATGCAGCTTGTTGATTTTAAATAACCCAGCAGGTGTGTAATTTCCATTTCCTGCAAGCAGACATAGCATTAACAATGTTCATTAGTGACAGGAGTTCATCTTACATCTTAGGATAGCGTTCAAACAGTGAAAATCCGGACAGCTTTTTTTTTATTTTTTAGTTTTGCTCAAAGTTATTGCATTTTATTATCATTTTTGCAAAATCACTTTTTGGAGGCATTTTTAAGGAAAATTGCAAAAATGGCACTGCCCTACATCCAGATTTCCCCAAACATATTGCCAATTTCCACCCGGACACTGCTGCCGACTGCAGTACGTCTGGAAAATTCTGGACGTATCACAACCCTATCTTAGGAGAGCACAGCATTGTGGCTTGAACCAAAAAGAAAATCTGCAAGTATTCAGCTTTGCCATTTTCTCATTCAAACCGTGAATGCAAAACTTTAAAATCCGAGCCTTTGATATAGGTTGGCTTCAGTTGTAAAGACACAGAAATTTGGGAAACTTAACTTTAACTTAACTTAACTTAACTTAACGTTTTAACTGTGGTTTTAACTGTGGTTAATTAAGAAGCCTAGGTGTTAAAGTGCTGTTAAAACAAATCACAGCTGCATTTGTCAAACACTCCTGTCAAAACATACGCCTAGGTGGACCCGAAACACTTTGTACCTTCCGAAGCACTTTCTAAGTGCGATGCAGCAGTATTCCCCTGTGAGGCTTGTCTCAAATGATCTGCCAGTAACTGGACAGGGAAGCTGATTGATAACCATCTCTTCCTCTCTGCAGGGCTCCGGCTGGCTGCCAGAAGCTGCACTGCACCCTCCTTCACCATTCTGCCTGTGCTGCTCAGTGCCATCATTTCCTGCAACATTTTCTGCTAACGCCTTTAATCCCAGACAGGGTTGTTGTTGGGAATATGGCTCACGGAGAGATGGAGATGGATCTTGAAATTCACCATCCCCGCAGGATTTCTGCTGCTGCTGCACATGCTGACACCCTCCCAATTTCTGCTGTGAAAGCAGAGCCCATTATTGGAGATAGAAGCCTGCTGTTGTTTACATCAGGGGTGGGGAACCTCAGGCCCTCAGGACTCTAACCAAGCCACACACCCTCTTCCTCGGCCAAACATTTCACCAGCTCTGCTTCACATATTCCTTAAGTGTTTGTTTTTTTGTTGCTCTGCCTCTGGGTTTGCCCTCCACTGGCTTGTGTCCTGCAGAAGACTGCCCAGAAGGGAATGCAGCCCTGAAAAATGTCCCCCATCCCTGGTTTACACAATCTTTTTGGGACCAAACTTGGTGCAGTAGCATTCAAGCAATTAGCAACCATGCTGATGATGCTTTAAATATATAAGCAGGTATTGGTGGGAGGTGTTTTTTGGAATTTGGGTAACCTACTAATTTAAATAACAGCCCTGATCCAGATTGGGATTACAGTGGAGAACAGAATGATAAAGCCCCTGTACCCCTACTTGCCAGGGTCATGATCTGCGTCACACAGCCTACCTCTGGTTTGTTTTTGTTTTTTACCCTGAAAATAAAACAGACAATTGCTACTTGTGCAAATGGTGTCCTATCTAGTTTGGCCCTTATCTGAAGATGACAGTGAGCAAATCCAAGTGCCTCAGCTCTTTCAAAGGGTTTTCTTGCTTTGTTTTAATGTGTAACGCTACAAATGGAATGAGCTGCTAGCTGGCTGGGGGGGAAACTCACCTGGCTTGCTCCAGTGCTTCTGGATTTTTAACTGCTGAAGCTAAACATGCTCACCTTCTAATTGCTGCAGGTGAAACATTTAAATGAGCAATGGTGCACCCACATGCCCTTTGCAGCCCTAGCTGAAATCCTGAAAGTGGGGTTAGAGTTTAATTTTGCTTTTGCATTTCCCTGCATTGGTAACTCAAATGCTGATCCTGCAGTGGTCAGAAATGCACAATGGATTTAAAAGCGCCTCTCTGCCATTCTGTCCCTTATTGGCAATTCACTGCCATGGTGATTCATTCTAAAATTAGGCTTTAATCCTGTGTGTACACTTCCTTTCTGGCAGCCAGAGCCATGGAGCTCTGCTTCCTCACACCTGTCTCATCAGCAGCTCCGGGGCTTATTTGGACTTCTCCAACACACATGTTAAAGTTATCCTTCTCTGCTGTACTTCTTCTGGCAATGTATATGACTTTACTGACATGCCTGCCATCCTCATCAAATTTATCCTGGGACTAGTGGTCCCTTCCACTTTGTGGTGTTGGGAAGCAAGAGAAAGGCGACTCAAATCTAGTTTCAGAGCTTTGCATCGCCCTCTGGATCTTTTCCAACATCCTCTTGCTGATTCCCTCCATCCTTCCCTTCGAGTTTAGTATCATCCTACTTCCCATCTGTGCAGGGTTATGCATCGCTGAACCTTTGCTGCAAGGCGCTGATACAATCCTGACCAGATTTTATTTTTTATTATGTGTTTTTGTGTTCTCATTTTGCATTTGTATGTTGCGAGCTGCCCTGTGATCTTTGGATGAAGGGTGGTATACAAATGTCAATAATAATAATAATAATAATAATAATAATAATTTGGCTTTACGAAAGCCCCTGGGTTGTTTGGTTTTTTTTGTTAATGTTTCCCAGAAGGTTTCCCCCCCCCAAAAAAAGAACAATTCTAAATCTCTTTTACAAAGTGTTGTAGCCCTTCCGCAAACCTCTCCTTAAGCATTTGATCAGCATCCTAATGCTCAGTTCTTTCCAGTTCTTCTATTGGCCTTAAAGTTTCTTGAAGCTGTTGATGCCATCTTGCCCTTTGTCTCAGGTGGCAAAAGCATGTTTCGAGCCAAACCCCCAGCTCCAGCTGTCTTACCTCAAGCAAATTGGTGCCTCCTTGCTTAAAACTGGCAAAGGAAGGGTGACAGCAAACATTCTAGCAGCGCACCCATCTAGGAGAGCAACCACTGACAGATATTACAAAATGGACCTGCACATGCATGACCCAGAACTACATGGAAGACTGACCCAGATAAGGGCTTCACCCAGGATCCGTTTCCTGGCCTCTACAATGCCTAGTCTGCCTCTCCAGTGGGACATGGTGGTAGAATTTTGAAATGTTAGAGGGGACTGAAAATGATTCAGACTGCACGTGTCGGATTATATTTTTGAAACTACTGCTTGCTTGTTTTGTTTTTAAATTAGAAACTAGCACAGCATGGAGTAGCCTGTTCCCTAACATGTGTTGGGGTTTATTTGTGGGGATATTTCCCTAAAACAGTGGTTTTCAACCAATGTGCCATGGAACCCTGAGGTGCCTTGAATGATGTTTGGGGTGCTGTGGGCAACACTGGCCTCTGTCCCTCTTCTTTCCCTCCCTCCTCTGATGCCTTCTCACGTTTCTGCCTCCCAGAGGCTTGCACAGTTGTTTGTTGCAGCATCCCTGGCTACAAACTCCCCAGGCGAATGGTGCCTCTGGGGCTGGCCAGGGGATGCTCGTTGCCAGGAGCTGAGGTGGCCTTGGAGTAAGCAAGCAAGTGGGTGAGGAAGCCCCACCAGCCAGTCTGCCAGCCCTTACTGTTGGAAATGGACAGACAAGTCCCAGGTCCTTGTGGGGCAGTGTCAGGAAGCACCTCTCTTTGGGGGGGGGGCAGCTCAGAGACCAGGGGCGGCAGCAGCGGCTGCCCAGAGGACTCCCAAGGAGAGGGGAGCAGAGGGGAGGGTGTTTGAACACCCACAAGGGAGGGTATTTGAAAAAGGGTGAGAGGCAGGCAAGGGGTGACATAACTGGGCTCCTGAGCAGGGCCGGATTTAGGTTTGATGGGGCCCTAAGCTACTGAAGGTAATGAGGCCATTTATATGTAGGCACCCTATATATAGAAATGAGCAAACCAGTGATATTTTAGGGAGCAGGCTAGCAGGCAGGGTCCATTACATACATCATAGGAGCCTACACAACACAAAACACTGTTGCTGTATGTAGGTTTTGTTTTGTTTGTTTTTTATGTTATATTTTGGAAATGTACATCCAGGTTTAGGTTTTTTCCTTTAGTTTTTTGGGGGCCCCCAAGAGAGTGGGGCCCTAAGCTACAGCTTCTTATAGGTAAATCCAGGACTGCTCCTGAGCCCCACGGGGGTGCCGCAGAAAGAATGCAGTTGGTCCAGCGAGCCGTGGACCCAGAAAGGTTGAAAACCTCTGGCTTAAAATATAGGGGGAAGTTTTCTTTCTCTCTGCCCCCTCGCCGGCTCTCAAATAGTACAGTCCATTCCACCACCACGTTCTGGGCAGATTCTTTTGAGGGCGACCAGTTCCAAAGGCGGAAAGGGTTTTTTTTAATCTCCCGCACAGTCCTTGGGCAGGGGGAGAACGTGTCGCTCTGTCATCAGGCGCAGGCACCCTGTCTCCCCCACCCCAAAAAGGCTGCTTTCCAAGATCCGAGGCGACGCGGCGCCTCCGCTGCCCACTAGAGGGCGCCCCTCCGCCGCTTGGCTCCCGAACCGGGCTGGCCGGCGCGTTGCGTAACTGTGCCTTGGGCCGCTTCCCAGCAAAGCGGAGCCGGAGAGGATCGGCGACGGGAAGATGGAGACGCTGTGGGCGAGCGAGCCGAGATTCCTCTCTTGGGAAGGGAAGGCGGAGAGGGCGCCTCTGCCTTGATTTATGGCGCCATCCAAGGCAGAAAGGCGGCCTTTGCAGCGCGAAAGGCGGGTCCGGCGCTCTCCCCCTTTAGCGCACATTTCCCCCCCGGTTACCCAAGCGCTGTGCCTTTGAGACAGGCAGGAATCCGGCAGGTGCAGCGACCAGATGAGTTTGGGAGTCCCAGGACTGGGGAGACTCGCGCTGTGGGCTTCCCAGGGTCCCTGACTGGCACATTATGGGAAACAGAAGGTTGGACTCTGTGGACATTTGTCCTAGTCCAGGAGAGCGTTTCTTATCTTCTTATGAGGCTTATAAACAGGGGCTGCCAAACATGGCACTCAGCTTTGATGATGACTTGCTGGTTATGATGATCACTTATATAGTGCCTCAAATTGACTCAAATCACTTATATAGTGCCTCAAATTGACTTAACTGCTGCCCGGAGATTAAAATAAATATAAAGCGGTATAGAAATGACGTGAATAATAATAATTTTTCTGCACAGCTGTAAGAGGCAGTGGTATATCATCATCAGCGCAGGGCACTTTGGAGCAGAAGTTCAAGGCCTAGACGCAACCACCAGTGTGCCAGAGCTGGAGGTAGTGAGTTAATACACGTTACCAGAAGGGCTTTTCAAATTGCAGAGCTGTCTCAGGCAAAGCAGTGCCTGGAGGAATTTCTCCCGAGCAGCTTCTAAAGGTGACAGAGCCCCTCTTTGGGTCTAGCGCTGGCAAATGTCCTGCAATCTCAAATTCACAATCTGCACTTCTGAGGTCTGCTAGCATCCCTCTATTATGCCCTACAAAATCCCTACTATCTCTGCATCAGGTTCATCCATGGGCGTGGGCACGGGGCAGCCCCCCTACCAATCAAGTAAATAAATAAAAATACTTAAGTAGAAATTGTAGAAAGATTTAGACAGATTTTTCTAAGCACCTGGGGTCAAAAGAAAGTAATTTAAAACAACTGTTGTTGAGACATTTAATTCTGAACCTGCTAAACAGAGTCCAACAGAGGTTGATAACAGGTGGGTGTCCTGCCCACCCTCCACATAAATCCTGGGCTTATCTATCTCCCCTTTCTATGCCTTGTGATGGAGTTCTTTTGCATATGTGGGTGAGACTTGCTTTAGTTTTAATGGAATGATGTCCATGAAACCTCAGCCGACACTTTGGGAACAGAAATCGCCTGGCACCAAAGATTTCTGCATTCACTTTCTGCACCTCTGGGCTTTCCAGAAATACTTTGCATGAACAACCCCCCTGAGATTTGCTCTCAGACAGCAGCAGAGTTACTGCGGGAGAACACAACACCCTGCTTCAGCTGCTGGAATTGAACGCTGAAGAACACAGAGCACCGCTTCCTGCTAGCACAATGGCTGGATTCAAAGGGGCTCCCCCAGACTGGTGTTTCTCCAATGTTATTGCATGATTGCCATCTGAAAGGACAGTCTTCTTGCAACAAAAGTGGGACGAAAATTTACTTGGGAACATTAGTAGTACAGAAAGCTAAGAGGATTTCAGTGGGAAGTTACTACAAGACAGGCACTGATTGGAAATGAAGCGGTACGCCCACCCCCAGAATCTTTTGCAGTATTGAAAGTGGGTTTGTGTATAAATGACCCCGCTACCATTTTATTGAGGACAAATCACCATGAATGCACAATGAAAAGGACAATTGGAGAGGCTCTGAAATGATTTTAAAAAAAAACCTCCAGAGAATATTGTGGGTGCAAAAGAGGATAGGACTCCAGTATTTTCACTAGCTGTGTGTACAAGAGGGGAATTGAGGTGGACACCTCTTCTGCGCCAACAGCAACTTTCCTCTTTCACATCCAGTCACCCTAAAGTCTGGAGGGATTCTGCAACCTATGCCAAGCACATAACAAAGAGGCTCAACCTCTCTGTGTGGGCCCAGCCTTCTCCCACTAGAGGTCTTGGAACGTTGTGAGAGGGGTTCAAAACAGACAAGGGCTGCCCCGAGTTTGTGCTAGGTATTCTGTGCCTGCCCTGAGCACAGGTAGCAAACTTCACATTGCATGCCGGAGACCTCCAGCCTAGCCAAGGGAGTGGTGAAAACACTGATTGGTCACAAGGGAGAAGCCCCATCAATTTCAAAATAGACCCAGGCTCTTCTATGTGGTTTTAAGTTGTGGAATACAGCCCCAAAAACAGTTCAGCCCATCACCATGGTTTCCTTGTAGGAAGAAACACTTGAGCGCTGCTTCCTTTCAGATGGACACAAGCCACCTTGAACATCTCTTGTCTACCCAGCAGAAATCAACCTGGGAGGCCCCTGCCAGCGTGAAAGCAGATGAAAGGAGAGGAAACAGCTATTTAGGGCACAAAACCTTTGTATCCATGTTTTTTAACCAAAGAAAAGATGGGGCAAGTCAAAGGTTGGCTGCGCAGCCCATTGGCACACATTTTTAGCTGTGCTGTGAAAATACTGCCGTAACCTTTAAAAAGATGAAAGAGGGCTGTGTTTCAGGCTCCCAGCTGTAGCTCGGTGGCAGAGGATCTGCTGTGTGTGCAGAAGGCCTCAGGTTCAATCCCCGCCATCTCCAGACAGGGCTGGGAGTTGAAAACTCAGGAGAGCCACTGCCAGTCAAATGTGGACAAAAGAGGGACCAATGGTCTGACTTGGTTATAAAAAGCATGTTCCTCTGCTCCTCGGAGCAGGATTGCAAAGAGAGGAGGAGGGAGGCCTCCTGCTTCCTGGAGCATGCCACCCTGCTGAACTCTCGCTGACATCTGTGCAAAAGGCCCCGCAGGAACTGGCACACTGCCAAGGGGGAGCATCACAGGCCATTGCTCTGGCTCAACCGCATGCAGCTGCGCTGGCTCAGGAAAACACCAGTTGAATCACCCCATTCTCCAAGGCTGGAGATGCAAAGCCACCCCTACCCTTCCGAGGGGCTGTGTGTGACTCGGGGACAACATCGGGCAACGCCACGGCCCCTTGCTTTCCTCCAAACTGGCGTTCCTCCTGCCCTCTCCCCCCGATCTGAAGAAGACTCATCTCCCCACCCTGGAACACAGAACACCCTCTTCCTTTTCTCCCTGTCCTTCTTAAGAGCCACCCAGACAACGCGGCTCTCATTAGGCACGGTGGCTGCATCCCCCAGTCAGAGCACACCCAAGGAGGGATTGACCGGGGGGGGGAGCAGTCCTAAGGCTCCGTGCCACCCCCACCCTGTCTTTTCTGGGGGGTTTTTTTGTCGCTGGCTCCTAGTGCCTCATCTGGAGCCGGAACAAAAGGCCAAGCCCCCTTGCCCTCCCTCCAGGGCTGCCGTTCTCACATCCGAGTCAATGGAGCGCTTGTTCTCCATCGAACTCCCTAACAATGTCCCGTCTGTGCCCAGAGCAGCCGAGAAAGGGGCCTGGGGTTGTTCTCAGAAGTGCCGGGGTCACTGGTGAATTTCAAGTCAGCGGAAATGACAGAGCGAAGGGAAGCTCTCGGGGGGCAGCAGGCAGGCAGGCAGGCACCCTCCCGGAGGCCACTGTGGACCCCACCACCCTCCCCAGGTCTTCATGCTCTGCCACTGGGTGCAGCCAAACCCCAAAAGGTGAAGGAGGAGCACTTGGAGAGCCATTGGGTTGGAAGCTGATCTGAGCCTATGCCCAAAGGCATCTTTAAGAGCTGCACCTAAGAGAGAATGTATGCTATGAACCGTCCTGAGATAATAAAATAAATTCCTCTAGGTTTAGGAGCATAGGAAGCTGCCTTATGCCAAGTCAGATCACTGGTCCACCTAATTCAGTGCTGCAGACACGGACTGGCAGCAGCTCTCCAGGGTCGTAGGGAGGGAGCTTTTCCTAGCCCAACCTGGAGACACTGGGGATCGAACCTGGGACTTCCTGCCTGCAAGGCAGATGCTCTGCCACTGAGCTACAACCCACAACTTGGTTTAGAAAACTACTGGCATAGAACCAGGGTGGCCACTGAATGCCTCATTAAGGCAGGGGCGAAAGAGAACACCGCTGTGCATGGAAACCGAACGTGCTAATCTATATTTGTGGATGCAAATTTAGAATAACCACTGTGATTCAAATAGAAATACAAAACATCTTGCTGAGGTGCAGAAGACTGTGGCCAGGTGATATGTTTGCTGTCTAGGCGCTGTGCTAACTCTCAGGAGTGACTTCAAAATCTGTCTTGCTCTCCCTTCTTGAGCTCTTTGATCTTCCGGACAGATTTGGACTGTCAAAGGGGAGGCTCGTCATTGCTGCTTTGTCTTACACCAGCCTGATCAGCATGAATACAGCTGCCACTGCCCTTGTGGCCCCATGTTGACTCTATGTTCAGATCCCACTGCTGCAAGGGATGTGCCAAAGAGCCTTCAAAAAGTACCATTTCAGCATTTACAAAGATAAAAAGAGGTTGCGTTAGCTAGGAATGGTAGGGCTCACTGGGTTTGGCTTCCAGTGTGGTGTAGTGGTGAAGAGCGGTAGTCTTGCAATCTGGGGAACCGGGTTCGCGTCTCCGCTCCTCCACATGCAGCTGCTGGGTGACCTTGGGCCACTCACCTCACAGAGTGTTTGTTGTGGGGGAAGAAGGGAACGGAGAATGTTAGCTGCTTTGAGACTCCTTAGGGTAGTGATAAAGCGGGATATCAAATCCAAACTCTTCTTCCTCCAGAAGATTTAAGGCAGTTTGGAATATATTTACAAGTACATAGGTTCAGCATAGGCACACAGCTTTGATGCTCCTAAAGGTAAAGGTAAAGCTAAAGAGACCTCTGACCATTAGGTCCAGTCGTGGATGACTCTGGGGTTGCGACGCTCATCTCACTTTATTGGCCGAGGGAGCCGGCGTACAGCTTCCGGGTCATGTGGCCAGCATGACTAAGCCGCTTCTGGCGAACCAGAGCAGTGCATGGAAATGCCGTTTACCTTCCCACCAGAGTGGTACCTATTTATCTACTTGCACTTTGTGCTTTCGAACTGCTAGGCTGGCAGGATGCTCCTAGGGGGCAGCAAATTCACTCCCTCACCATATCAGATAGGCAGAGAGGACCATGCACACCGCAAGATGCTTTCAGCCTATCAGCAAGAGCTCTGCCTTCTCTCTTAAAACTGGAGTTTCTCTCACATGGAAAAACACACCTCCTCCTCTGAAGATAATCACACCTACACCATCCATTTAAAACACATGTCTTTGCCAGAAGAATCATGGGAGCTGTAGTTCAGTAAGAATGTTGTGGGTTGCAGCTCTGTGAGGGGCAAACTTAAGTTCCCAGGATTCTTTGGAGGAAGCCATGGGCTTTGGCTGTGTGGTGTGTACATTTAGTCTTTTTCCCCAGGGCCAGATGCCTCTCCCATTCAAAGCACTCAGGAAAGGACTCAAAACACCTGAGAAAGATGCCCTTCACAAGCATTTTGCTTGTTTAGAATGTTTATACCCTTCTCTCCTATAGTTCAAGGAGGCTTACCAAGCAGTAAACTGCAGTGGCAATTAAAAAACACACACACACCGCAATAGAAGGAACAAACAGTGATAAAGAGACAGCAGTAAAAAAAAAAGTTTAACAGCAGCTGCAGCGAGAAGCACCTTCGTACATCGTAAAAAGCTAGCGTGAGTCAGAAAGTAAAGAACCAGAGTTGGGATGGGGAATCCTGTGTGGTGGTCCAAGCGATGTTGTTGGACTTTTCATCAGCCCCAGCCAGCCTGGACAATGGTCAGGGATGACTGGAAGCTGCAGTTCGGCAACATTCAAAGGGGTGGAGGTAGGGCAGTGGGACCAGTTCCACTGCACTGGGCACTGCAGATGCACTACCAGTGCAGGTGGCGCTGTGGTCTAAACCACTGAGCCTCTTGGGCTTGCCAATCAGAAGGTCGGCGGTTCGAATCCCCGCGATGGGGTGAGCTCCTGTTGCTCTGTCCCAGCTTCTGCCAGCCTAGCAGTTTGAAAGCACGCCAGTGCAAGTAGATAAATAGGTACTGCTGCGGTGGGAAGGTAAACGGTGTTTCTGTGTGCTCTGGCACTCGTCATGGTCCTCCGTGAGCCAATAGTAGTTTAGTCATGTTGGCTACATGACCCAGAAAGCTGTCTGTGGACAAATGCCAGCTCCCTCGGCCTGAAAAGCGATACGAGTGCCTCACCCCATAGCCACCTTTGACTGGACTTAACCGTCCAAGGGTCTCTTACCCTATTACCTTACCTTATTACCAGAAGCACATCCAGATTGATGACCAAAAGATCATAACTCTGAGATACCAATGAGATTGTTAAAGAAAAGGAGTAATTATAATTTTCTGGCCGATGCTTTGAGAAATAGTGCCATCCCATTCAGATGGGAACTTCCTGAAGGCATTTCATTTACATACAAAGGGAAGAAACAAAGGTGTTGAGACCTTTCAGAAGCAGAGCAGATAAGTTCAGAGGAAATACAGGGAAGAGCTGGGGGGGGGGGACTATCACATGGGCAGAACTATCCAGAAGAAACTATCTAGAACTATCCAGAAGAAAGGGAGCAGGAAGAGCAAGAACAGAAGGAACAAGACTCTTAAACATAGAAAACAGATTAAATTCAAATAAAAAATTAAGATGGATTTTTAAAAATTGAGCTGGGATGTATATGGACTAAATAAAGTTACGAGAAACGAAACAAGACGTGTCACTGAAACAAAATTTGGATGCAATATGTTTGCAGAAAACACATTTCGAAACAACATAGAAGAGTATTGATTAACAAAAGGTTGCAACTATGAAGTAGGGAAGGGAAGGGAAGCAAAGAAGCGAGAGGGGTGTGCCAAATTTTGGACTTGCACCACTGAAAGTTGAGACCAAAGTCTGCCCCTGCCACAGGTTTCCTACCCAGATTGTTCCTAACTATTGGTTGACTATTTGATTAGCTATTGCTGTGCACACCCTGGTCTCCAAGTGGTGAGAGGCTCCAGGGGTTCCAGCTTTCCTTGGAACAAAGGTCACTGGAGACTATGGTGTCTTTAGGATACAGTGGTACCTTGGCTCTCAAACTTAATCCGTTCCGGAAGTACGTTCCAAAACCAAAGCGTTCCAAAACCAAGGTGCGGTTTCCCATAGAAAGTAATGCAAAATGGATTAATCCGTTCCAGACTTTTAAAAACAACCCCTTTTAAAAACGTGAATTTTACTATCTAACGAGACCATTGATCCATAAAATGAAAGCAATAAACAATGTACTGCAGTCACACAATCAATCAATCAGTAGGTGAATTGGGTTCCACAGAGTCACAAAAAGAAAACAAAAAGAGCTGCAAAAACAAAAATGCAAAATGCAGTGGTACCTCGGGTTACAAATGCTTCAGGTTACAGACTCTGCTAACCCAGAAATAGTACCTCAGGTTAAGAACTTTACCTCAGGATGAGAACAGAAATTGCACGCCAGCGGCGCAGCAGCAGCGGGAGGCCCCATTAGCTAAAGCGTTACCTCAGGTTAAGAACAGTTTCAGGTTAAGAACGGACCTCCAGAATGAATTATGTTCGTAACCAGAGGTACCACTGTAAATAGCAAAAACAGACAGACCTCAGTGTAACACTCAAAATGGAAGTGTGGCATTCAAATCAGGAGCGTAACACTCAAAACAGAGCACAATTGGCTTCCGAAAAGAGTTCTCCAACTGGAACACTTACTTCTGGGTTTGCAGTGTTTGGGTTCCAAGTTGTTTGAGTACCAAGGCATTTGAGAACCAAGGTACTACTGTATTTGGTTTTATTTTCGCAGGTTGGACTGGTGAGAACCAGCAGCACCATCCCCATGCAGTTTATGGGGGGTGATGGATCAGCAGGTAAGAACAAATCCAGAGGAAGGAGGCACGGTAGCCCCAAAGGTATGCATCATTAGCCAGTTTCTTTCCAGGACTCAGCAAGGGGGGGGGGACCCGCCTGCCTCCATGCCATTCTAATTGGCAAGTAAAGCTGATGTTCCCTGCAGGAGTCTAGAGAGACCTGGCAGCTGTGCCCATGCCAAACACTTAAGATGCTCTCCACAGGAATGCACAGCCCTAGCTCCACTGCCAAGGGGTTCATTTGTATGTACATCAGGTACAGTGTGTTCTGGGCATGGCTTCCCCACCTCTGCTGTTTATATGCTGAACTATACACACAATACAGAGGTGAAGGAAGGTGATCCGAGAAGCAGCCACCGCCCTGGAGGGACAGGCTGTTCTGAGACCATCAATCCTTACAGCGTTCGCTGTTTCCGAGATGAGATACAGGTCCAGTTGCAACTGTCCCTCCTTCTCTGATCATGTCTTTCTTTAAAGCAGGGTTTCCCAAACTGGGGCCTCCAGTTGTTTTTGGACTACAACTCCCATCATCCCTAGCTAGCAGGTCCAGTGGTCAGGGATGATGGGAATTGTAGTCCTAACTTAGCTGGATAACCAAGTTTGGGAAACACTTTTTATGGCAGGGGTGCAGGGAACCTTTTATCTGTCCGGGGCCACGTTCCTGCAAAGGGAAATGCCCCAGGGGCCCGTACACCAGTGGTGGGTGTGGCCAGGACCCAAAGGTGGGTGGGGCAACAGAGGAGATGCTTGCCTTGGTGTGAAGGGTTCTATTCAAGCCATGTAACATTGGGAGCTTGCTGCACACCTCTCTCCCCACCTGGGCAATTAAGAGGATAAATCACAATTCAAGGAACACATTTCAGCCAGGCAGAAGCACCCAAGGAGGAGGGGGAGCACAACCAGTGAGGGGTGCAGCACTGGAAGGGGTATACCCTGGAGAGAGAGCCCAGAGGGATGTAGATAGACGGTGTGTGTGTGTGTGTGTGTGTGTGTGTGTGTGTGTGTGTATTTGGCCCATGGGCTTGAAGTTCCCACCACTGTTTGAAAGCACTTTGCAAGGCTCTACACACACTTACAGGAATCAGAAATAAAAGCTTCTCCATATCCCCAGCTCTTTACTGTATA